TCCTTTTCCCTATCACACAGAAACGAACGAGCTCGCGCGGTGGTAAAAACGGGGGTTACCGCGCGACCCGGAGCGGCGCGTCCCCGCGCGCGCGCGCCGCGGCGACCTCGTGCGCGTTGAGCTCCGCGCCGTCGTCGGCCACGACGGGCTCCGTCAGCGACCGGCGGAACGTCGTCATGTAGCGCCCGAAGGGCGAGTCCTTGTCCCGCACCTCGCGGCCGCCGTTGAGCAGGAGCGCCCCGGAGTCGTCGACGTCGTGGTCGCCGTCGCCCGGCGGCACGGGCGCGCGGAGCGCCCGCGGCGCGACGTCGACGGTCTCGGGAAACCCCCGGCCCGCGTCGTAGCCGAAATCCGCGAGCATGGACCCGCAGATGTCCTCGACCTCGCCGCGCAACGCATCATCAAAACGCCGCAGCGACGACCCGACGCGCCGCGCGCCGCCGCGGCGCGGCGCGTAGAAGCCCGACGCGTCGAGCTCCGCGCCGCACGCCGCGTCGACGCGATCGGCCCAGCCCGTGCCCTCGAGCGGGTCGCAGCCCCGGAGGAACCAGGCGACGCGCCGCAGCGTGCGGTGCCGGTGGTGCACGAGGTCCTCGTAGCGCACGACGAGCAGCGGGATCGGCGCCCGGAGCCACCAGCGGTTGAACCTCGCCCAGACGTCGGCCTCGGCCCTGGCGAGGCCGCGGAAGAGCTCCTCGAAGCGCGCGTACTGGTCGTCGCGCATCGTCGTGTTGTGGCTGTTCGTCAGGGTCATGTTGAAGTAGGAGTCGATGACGTCCCAGGGGTTCCGCACGAGCAGGATCGCGCGTTTCGCCGCGAAGCGCGCGCAGCCGCGCCGCTCCGGGTAGTGGCTCTTGACGACCCAGGCGCGCTCGTCGATGACACCCTCGCCGCGCACGCCGCACTCCTGGAGCGCCAGCGACAGCGTGCGGTTCGGCGCCGTGTCCGAGCCCGTGACGACGCCGCTGATCGACTCGAGGAGCGACCGCAAGAGGGAGTTGCCGGACCGCGGGTAGCTCGCGAGCACGACCGTCTCGCCGACGGCTTCCGACGCTTCCAGGAAGCGCGCGGGGAGCGGCAATGGGAAATTGGTGGAACGCGTCGCGCTTGGGGAGCAAGGAGCCTGCTCTTGCGCGGCCATGCCCCGCTCGCTCACGGCAACATGAGCTTGTTGAATTTCTCATTGCCGTCCAAGGCAGCCCGAGCGTCTGGTGCGGAGACCACTTCGACGGCGCAGTCGCCCACCCGCATTCGTCGTCGTCGACGGCGGCGGCGGCGCGTCGATCGCCGTAAAAGCTTCCGAGAAAAAAAGACAGAGATGTCGCGCTTCGGCGACGCCCCGCGCACCTTCGACGCCGTGGGCAAGTTCGACGAGCCCATGCTGTACGTCTGCCCGCCGCGCGTCAAGAAGGGGGTCATCGTGCGCGGCGACGTCGAGCTCGACTCGCCCCTCATCGCGACGCTGCCCGTGGGGACGCAGATGACGGTGTACCGGTCGAAGCACACGAGCGACGGCAAGGTCCGCCTCAAAATCAAGACGCCCGTGGTGGGCTGGATCTCGGAAAAGTCCGTGGAGCGCGACGTGCTCTCGGCCGCCGACGAGAACGTGGAGTTCGGCGAGGACGGCGAGCCCCTGGCGAAGCCGGAGAAGTTCTCGCTGAAGAACCCGCTCGCCGGCCTCCGGTGCGAGACGCCCGAGGACTACATGGAGAAGCTCAAGTGGAGCCAGACGCAGGACCCCGGCGAGGTCGAGATCGTCATGAAGCTGAACCCGGGCACGAAGAAGGACGAGATCGACGTGCTCTTCAACTACCGGCGCCTCCGCGTCTTCGTCGGCGAGGACTGCATCCTCGACGACGTCCTCTACAACCCGATCATCTGCGAGGGCTGCACCTGGACCTACAACGAGCGCAACCGCAAGCTCGAGATCTCCCTGACCAAGGACAGCGACACGATCGTCTGGTGCGCCGCGTTCCTCGCGAAGGACGCCGAGGGCAACGTGCCCCTCGACTACGAGGAGGAGGCCGCGGAGCGGGAGCGCATGGAGCGGTTCCTCCCGAAGCGGTTCTAAAGAGCTGCGGAGCGGCGTCGGTGGGGAAGAACAGCGACGGGTCGTTAAAACAGCGCGCGCGGCGGAGCGTCTAGACCTCCGAGTTGCCGAGCTTGTCGACGAGGGCGCGCTGCTCGGCCTCGACCTGGCTCAGCGACTGGTGCTGGGTCTGGTACCGCTCGAGCTCCGCCGTCTTCTCCGCGATCATCGCCTGGAGCGCGCGTCGGTGCTGGTCGCGGTTCTCGCGCTCGCTGAGCACCCGGTTCCGCATGCCGATGGCCTTGAGCTTGGCCTTCTCGATGCGCTGCGCGTTCGAGTCGAGGACCTCGACGATGCCCGTGATGAGCTGGCTGAACTCCTGGTTCTCTGCGAGCGGGCGCCGCGTCGCGGCGGCCCGCGGCGCGCGCGCGCGCGCGAAGCCGCGCGTCCACGGGCGCCGGCGCCGCGCTCGCGACGAAGCTGCCGCTGGCCTCGCTGAGCTCCTCCGTGTGCGCGTACTTCTCGACGTCCAAGACGCGGATGCGGTACTTGTCGTCGAAGGTGACGGATACCTAGGCGTCGGAAGGCTGCCCCACCGGTCGGAAACGCCCCGGGGGCGGCGTCGTCCGCGGCGCGGCGGGGAGGAGCGGCGCACATTATCGTCCATGGCGCCCGGGACCTCCGCGGCGTGCGGCAGCGCGGGCGGCGGGCAGCTAAGCCGGTTTGAGTTTTGGAAGTAGTGGGGCTGCTTCACCGGCTTCAGCTTCGGCCGGAGCTCGAGCTGCCCCAACGGACGAAAAAGCTGCCCATCATTGCATTCGCATCGTCCATCGCATCGTCGCAGCGTCGCAGCGTCGCAGCGTCGCGCCGTCGAGCGCGATGCGCGGCGACGCGCTGGGCCGGAAGCGGCTCCTGCCGAAGAGCGACGACAAGAAATTGGCGCTGCGGCCGCTCGTGAACCGGTCGTCGCTGGCGCAGGCGCGGTGGACGAAGCTGCGGCGATGCTCGCGCGGCGGCCTGTGCTGCCTGTGCAGCTGCCTGTTCCTGCTCGTCTTCTTCGATCTGGGCGTCGTCCTCAACAACCTGCTCATCGACCTCGACAACCTCGTGAGCCCGCCGGGGGCGCCGAGCGCGCGGCCCGAGGAGGACCGCGGCGCGCGGCGCGTCCGCGAGTACATGGAGCGGCAGTGGGCCCAGGCGTCGAAGCGGCGCGAGTCGTTCCTGCTCTGGGACTACTTCGACCTCAAGGCCCACGAGGAGCTCGGCCACCGCAAGGCGCCCGGCACCTGGAGCGACCTCATCATCGCGCGCATGGCGCTCTGGGCGAAGCGGCTCAAGTACGCGGGCGACAACCGCTTCGTCATCGAGAAGGACAAGTGCGCCATGTTCCGCATGCTCCGCCAGCTGCGGCTGCCCCACCCGCGCGTGCGCCTCGAGTGGCGCGCGGCGGACTACGGCGACGGCGGCCGCCTCCGGAGCTACCTCCTCGGCGAGGCCGACGCGAAGGACCCGGGCCTCGAGCGATGCGCCTACCCGGCGATTCTGAAGGTCGGCCACATCCACCAGCAGAAGTCGACGATCTTCCTGCCGTCCGAGGCCGACGCGCGGGGCCGCGTCGACGACTACGTCCGGTGGACGACGGACCGGATGCGCGAGAAGTTCGTCGACCGGGCGTCCTGGGCGGCGCAGAGCAACCCGCTCTACGCGTCCATCGACGCCTGCCTCATCGTCCAGGACGTCGTCAACCCGGGCGACTTCGGCGGCGAGGCGCGCGCGGCGCGGCCCCTCGAGCTCATGGTCGAGGTCTTCTGGGGCCGCGCGGTGCAGGCCGTGCTCACGGTCGACGCCGAGGGCGAGCTCGTGCTGGGCAAGCCCCAGTACAAGAACACGGCGGAGTTTGTGGTGCTGCGCGACGGCTGGGCGGCCTACAAGTGGCCCTACCTCGCGCGCGACGGCCGCTTCTTCTCGCGGCGCTACACGAACCCGCGCAGCCACGTCCGCGCGCACCGCAAGGCGCGGGAGTCGTGGTTCCGCTACGACACGGACCCGGCCGTCGACGACGGCGCCGCCGACGCCGACGACGCCTGCGAGGGCGTCCGGGCCACGGAGCGCGCGACGTGCCTCGCGGAGTACGCGGACGTCCGTCGCGTGTTCCGCGCCAAGTACGGCGACGCGGCGAAGTCCTTCCCCGAGGTCTGGCGCGTCTGCGACGCGCTGGCGACGGGCGTCGGCGCGGACTACGTGCGCTGCGACGTCTTCGTCGCGCCCGACGGGTCCGTGGCCGTCAACGAGATCTCGCTGTCCTCGAACTGGGGCAACGCCGTCTCCGACGCCTGGCAGCGCGAGCTCGTGAAACTCTGGACGCGGGGCTACGACGGCGCCGACGCCTGCACGCCCCACCTCGGCTCCCGCTGCGGCGCGGCCTTCGCGGGCGTCTACGAGGGCGACCTCCCGTCGCCGAAGTACGCCTTTAAGCCATGAGCAGGAGCGCGCGTCCCTCCGTGGCCCACCACGTCGCGAACTCGGCGTCGTCGAGCGTCTCTTTGCGGTTCGCTCGCGGCGGGCCGCAGCGGTAGTGCCAGCGGCCTTCGAAGATGTCGTTGCCGGCGGCGAGGAGGCCGACGACGAACGTCGGCGCGTCGTCACCCGAGCCGTCCGTCGCGACGGCGACGACGACGTGGCGCAGGTGCGCGCCGGGGATGGCGACGTAGCGCGCTCCGCTCAGGAAGAAGGCGACCTGGAACTCGGACGCGAGCGCGCAGAGCAGCCGGGGCCCGAAATTCAGAAGCGCCGTTTCCGTGAGCGCCCGGAGATTCGGCGGCGCCGCGGCGGCGACGGCCTCGATCACGATGGCATCGCCTACTGTGTGGTCGACGGCCTTCGGCGGATCGCCGGAGTAGACCTGGCCGCCGGCGCAGAGCCGCGCGAATGCCTTTCGGCCCTCGGACGGCTGTGCGGGCTTCGTCGGCGCGGTCCACACGCCTTCGGGCTCCATTTTTCCGGGTAGTTTTGTGAAACGCTCGAAGAGCGTATAACCAGCTACACTACACACGGCCGTCAAGGACATCCAGTCGGCGCCGTCCATCGCGATGCGACCGAGGGCGACGACGAGCACGGCGCCGGCGCCCATGACCATCTTCCGCTCATCCTTGTCTTGGCACCAGAGCAAGCCGAGGCCGACACAGCCCAGCAGAGGCTGCCAGCGGATCTCGAATGCGTCGAGGATGGCGCTCATCGTCAAGCAGCCCCCTCAGACTTCAAGTTGACATGCAACAAAATTTACGCGCCGCCGCCGCAGCGCCCGCGCGTGTGCCGGCACGTGCGGAACGCCATCTTGAGGAAGTTGCCCTCGCCGGGGACGATGGCGAAGCCGCCGTCGTCGCCGCGGAGCAGCGACGTGGACTCGCGGAGCTCGTCGACGGGCCGCGCGTTCTTGTGCGTGCACGCGTCCTCCGCGCGGTCGAAGCAGCACGAGTCGGCCGCGCGGTCGAGCGCCGCGGCGCCCCAGCGCGCGTTGTCGACGAGCTCCGGCGTCCCGAGGAGCGCGGCCCGCTCGCGCGCGTCGAGCCGCGTTTCCGGGAAGTCCTCGGGCAGCGGCATCGGCACGGCCCGGTGCGGCAGCACGAGGACGTCCGCCGCCTCCGCCGCGGCCAGCAGGTCGGCCGCGCCTCGCGCCCGCACGATCTGGTCGCTCTCCGTGTAGTAGACCCAGGCCGCGTCGCGCCAGGCGGCGGGGACCGCGCCCGTCTCGCGGGCCCGGTACGAGCCGACGAAGCCCGCGTCGGACGATTCGGCCCAGCGCCGCCGGCTCGTCCCGGAAAAGTCGTAGAGCCAGCCGTCGCGCTGGAGCGGGTCGGCGCCGCCCCGGGGCGCGGCGACGAGGCGGGCGAGCGCGATGAGCGTCGCCGCGCCCAATTTGTTGGGGTCGGGCAGGTCCGGGAGGTAGAGCGCGTCGAGCAACGGCCCGTGGGCGAGCGCCGTGTCCAGGTCGCCCCTGTTCGTCACGGCCACGACGACGTCGCGCGTGAGCGTCGCCCGCACGGAGGCCAGGGTCGCGTTGAGGTACGACGCCCTTAGACTCCGGCTGCTCGGGCCCTGGCCCTGGCCCGCGGCGTAAAAGGGCATGACCGCGACGCCGCCGGGCGGCGGGCGGCGGTCGGTGAACGCCGCCGTGCCGCGGTCGACGCGCGCGCCCATGACGCGCCGCCCGTAGGCCACGGGCGCCCGGCCCGCGTCCTTGCCCAAGTGCTTGCCCGCGACGAGGAGCCGCCGCTCGTACCAGCTGAGGTGCTCGACGTAGAAGTCGAGCAGGTCCAGCGTCTTGAGCGCCCTCGGCCCGGGCAGACCCGGCGGGCCCTCGAGCAGCAGGAACGACGCCGCCTCCATCATCGTGCCCGGCTTCGCGAGGCGCGACGTGTTCAGGAAGCTCTCGGGCAGCGCCGCCAGCAGCTTCCGCGACGCGAGCCACGCCGCGCTGTACTTGACCTGCTTCGGTCCGCGGCACAGCGCGAAGCCCGGCGGCAGCGGCCGGCGCGAGGCGTGGACGGCGGCCGCGACGAGCGCGGCCAGCCCGAGGCGCACCATGTCGCTTTAATGCCCTGCAACGAGCAGGGCAAGCTGCCCCGATATAATTCGTGACCGCATTCGCGACGTCGTCGACGTCTCGCAGAGGACGCCATGAGCGCGCCGCCCGTCGTCCAGAGCGTGCCCGTGGTGGCGAAGAACGTGGAGCGGCAGACCTGGATCGCGGGCAGCGCGCGGGCGCGGCGTCCTCGCGTCCACGAAATGAGCATCCGAGGCAGCCCGCGTCGTAGGTGCTCATCCCTTTGGCGGATTTCCTGGACCGGTGGCTCGTGGCGACGGGCGTGCTGAGCGCCGTGTCGCTGCTGCGCTGGAAGGTGACGCCGGCGAAGCTGCGGCGCAAGGCGCTGGCCGCGAGCGGCCTGAGCAACGAGTGCTACCACGTGACGTGGGAGCGCATCGACGAGCGGCTGCAGGCCGCGATCGACGCGTGCGCGCGCATGGACGACGACAAGACGCTCGCGGGCTGCGTCGCCGGCGGCCGCGACCTGCGCCTGGGCACGGGCTCCATCCTCGTGCTCGAGCGGCGCCTCACGCGGCAGCTCGTCGCGGACCTCCACGTCACGGCCGCGCGGTTCGCGAACCCGAAGATCGACGAGGCGCCCGTCGGGTCGCCGCTCGTCATCGTGGGCCCGCCGCGGTCCGGCACGACGCTGCTCCTGGAGCTCCTGGCCTGCGACGGCGACACGTGGCGCCAGCTCGCGGCGCCGGACGCGACGACGCCGTGCGCCGTCGGCGGGCCGTCGACGGCGAGGGCCGTCGCGGGGCTGACGGAGGGCCTGCTGGGCGGCCAGCAGTACATGTTCGACAAGACGAAGCACATCCACTACGAGCACTGGGCCGGCCCGACGGAGTGCCGCACGGCGCTCGAGAACGGGTGCGGCGCGCCCTACGTGCTCTGGTGGGTCTTCGGCCTCACGGACCGCCTCGACGCGTGGATGGACGACGAGGCGGACCGGGACCGCGACTACGCGTTCTACAAGGCCCAGCTCGGCGTCGTCAAGGCCTGCGGGGCCAAGGGGCTCGACGACCCGAGGGACTGGCTCCTAAAGGACCCGGCGCACCTCTTCTCGCTCGGCTCGCTCTTCAAGGCGCTCCCGGACGCCAAGGTCGTCTGCCTCCACCGCGAGCCCGTCGCCGTCGCGACGTCCCTCTGCTCCCTCCTCGCCAACGTCTGGAAGGTCGTCCACCGCGTCGACGCGCCCGAAAGCGGCAAGTCGCCGTTCGGCTTCGAGTCGAAGATCGTCGAGTACCTCGGCCGCATGGTCGACGCGTCCCTCGACTTCCGTAAAAAGGCGCCCGACGCCGACATCCACGACCTCAAGATGACGGACCTCGTCGCGGACCCCATCGCCAACGTCCGCGAGATCTACGCCTTCGCGGGCAAGGACCTCAGCGACGCGACCGTCGCGAAGATGCAGGCCTACCTCGACGCGAACAAGCGCGACGGCCGCGCGGGCCACCACAAGTACGACTGCCGCGACTTCGGCCTCGAGAAGGACGCCATCAACGCCCGCTTCGCCGCCTACAAGGCCCGCTTCGACCTCTGAGGGGAGGCCTAAGGTGCCCTGCAACCTCGAACTTCTCGGAGAGCACCACCTCGGCGAGCCAGGCCGCCGCGCACCACGATGAGCGCCGAGGAGCAGGCCCAGGCGCTGCAGCAGGTGCGACGCGCGACCGCGCGGCGACGCGCGCACCGCGCGCGACCGCCGCGCGCCCGCCCCGGCGCCGCCGACGGCCGAGCCCCCTGCGTTCCGTAGCTGCGCTCGCAAGTGAACGAGCAAGCGCAGCGCGAGCTCATGACGAAGATGACGGAGAAGTGCTTCGCGAAGTGCGCCACGGGCAAGGGCTCGGGCCAGCTCGACCGCAACGAGCAGATGTGCCTCGCGAACTGCATCGATCGTTACGTCGACTGCATGAACGCGCGCCTACCGCGCCCGCGCGAGACGCGCCGTTGCGTGACTGTGTTTGCGCCGCCGCAGGCCGTCAACGAGGCGCTCGTCCAGCGACAACAGTCGAGGTCATGATGACGCGACGAGGCGAGCGGACGCGGGCGCGGGCGGCGGGCGGGCGCGGCGCGCGGTGGGGAGCGTACTCCCTCTTCGTCTGCCAGCTGGGTAAGTTGGGAGAGACGCGTCGGCGCTGCTGGGAGAGACGCGTCGGCGCTCTAATCGTGCTAGGCGTCGGGAGGCGTGGTTCAACATCGAGTTGTTGCAGCCTTGAATCTGGCTTGTGGCGACGATGTGCGTGTCGGCTGGCTCGATGCCGGCGCCAGCAGCGATGCTTCCCCAGAACATCGCAGCGATGCCGGCGTCGCCCAGCGTCGCAGCGACGCCAGTGTCGTCCGGCGCCAGCGCGTGCGCGTCGTCGTCATCGACAGCCTTCGACGTCGCGCTGCCGCGGCGCGTGTCGCAGGCCGGCCGCGCGAGCTCCGAGTGCCTCGCGCTCGTGCTCGACGGCGTCCTGAGCGCCGCGGAGTGCGCGTCGCTCGTCGCGGTCCACGGCGACGCGACGAAGCTGCAAAAGGTCACCGAGGCGGCGGGCGAGGGCTACAGCGTCGCCATCCAGAACCCGCGCAACTACTCGCTCGGCGTCTTCCACGACGCCGGCGTGAGCGACGGCCTCTGGGCGCGGCTCGAGGCGCGCGCGGGCGCCGCGCTGGCGGCCTTCGCGGACTCGCGCGGCGAGCGGCCGCCGCTGGGCCTCAACGAGCGGCTCCGCGTGCTGCGCTACGCGCCGGGCGAGCGCTTCGAGCCGCACTACGACCTCGTCGTGGACTACCCGCCGGACCGGCGGAGTCTGGTGACCGTGTTGGTCTACCTGACGGACGGCTTCGAGGGCGGCGACACGGCGTTCCTCGACGCCGCGGCGCCCGCGTCGAGCCCCGCGGCCGTCGCGCCGCGCGTCGGGAGGGTCGTGCTCTTCGAGCACGGCCTGTTCCACGCGGGGTGCGAGGTCGTCGCGGGCGTCAAGTACGTCCTGCGGACGGACGTGCTCTTCGAGGCGCCGCGGGACCCGCCGCCGGCCGCCGCCGCCGCGCCGACCGCGCCGCCGCCGCCGCCGCCGCCGGCCGTCGGCGACGTCGCGGGCCTGCTCGCGAGCCTGGGCCTCGACCGCTGCCGCGGCGCCGTCGAGTGCCTCGGCCTCGAGGGCGCGTCGCTGGACGCGCTCCTCGCGCCGGGCCGCGCCGCGACGGCCGCGATGCTCGCGGAGCTCGACGTCGCGGACGATGACGCCGGCGCGTTGCTCGACGCCGCGGAGGCGGCGCTCAAGGGTTCTTAATGTTGAGCCCGGTCAACAGGGGTGATTTTGCCAGTCCTTGGACCGGTAGCCTACCGGTCGGCCGAGTTGTCCGCCGAGCGCGGAGGACCTGGCCGCCCGGACCTCGATCGTTCTACCGGTATTTGCTCGACCCGGCGCCGCCGCGGCCGATCTCATGTCGTCTTGTAACGAACTCGCGTCCCTACTCGCGGGTCTCGAGCTGACGCGATTCATTTCAAAGTTCGAAGCGGAAGAACTCGATATCAAATGTTGCGAGTTCCTCGACGACGACGACATCAAGGAGCTCATCCCGCCGCTCGGCCCGCGAAAGCGATTCAAAGAGGCGATCAAAAATCGTCAAACGTCTTCCTCGCCCGTGACCTCGAGGGCCGCGGCGGTCGTGACGCCGACGGTCGACGACGGCGCGCGCGCGGAAGACGACGACGAGCGATCGTGCGCGATCTGCTTCGACGAGCTCGCGAACCCGGTCCGCGTCGACTGCGCGGGCGGCCACGAATTCTGCCGGCGCTGCTGGCTCGGGTGGTGCAAACAGCTCATACTCAAGAGCAGCACGTCGACGACGTGCCCGAGCTGCCGCGCCGACGTCAAGCTCGTGCTCGACACGGCGACGATGAAGCCCTTCGAGGCGGACCGGGCCCCCGCGTGGGGCGGCGCGGGCGTCGCGGTTCCGCGGCGCGAGGCGTCGGCGCGGCCGCGCGGACCGGCTTCGGTCACTCCGGACGCGGCGCGCGCGGACGCGCGGGCGACGGCCGCGGCGGAATCGCGACGCCGCGCGACGGTCGCGGCGGAATCGCGGCGCCGCGCGGAGGCCGAAGCGGAAGCGCAACGACGCGCGGCCGTTCAGGCGCGGCGCGCCGCAGCGAAAGCCGCGAAGAAGGAGCGGCAGCGCGAGCGCAAGCGGACGCAAGTCGCGCCCGCGGAGGCGCCGACGCCCGCGCCCGTCTCGCGGCCCCGCCGCCCGGCCGCCGAGGCCGCGCCGTCGCGGCAGCACCGGGGCGGCGGGTCGCTGTGGCAGCCCGGCGACCCGCCGCGGCGGGCGCTCGACGCGGCGTCCGCGGGCTCGTGGCTCGAGTCGCGCATGCGGCAGCCGGCCCTCCGGCCCGCGGTCGCCGTCGAGTCCTTCGAGTCCATGCTCCGGCCGCTGGCCGCCGGCGCGCCCCAGGCCCCGATCCCGCCCTCGCCCCTCGACTGGACCGGGTTCTAAGCGTGCCGCCAGTCCGGCGCCCCCGCGACGGTGAATTGACGGTGACGGACTTGAACTCATGTGAAAGTCCGAGCTCGAAACGCTCTCTCTGAGGCCGCATCCGTCGGCCGTCACACTCTGCCGGGTCCCATAAAGCCCGACGATGTCGGCCCCGGGGGGCACGAACACTCGTCTCCACGCCATGCTCGAGGCGCTCAACATGACCCATCATCTGCCTCGCTTCCTAGCCGAAGAAATCGACGACGACGTCCTCGGAGAAATCGCGGACAACGACGCGCTGTTGAAAGGCCTCGGCCTCAAAATCGGCGAAATCATCCGCTTTCGGAGGTACGTCGAGAAGCACGACGCGCCGAGCCTCCTCGTGAACCGCGTGTCCGCGTCGAGCTCCGTCGACGACCTCGGATTCGATCTCTCGCCAGCGTCTTCGCCGGCCGCGCGCAAGAAGGGCGCCGCCTGGGCCCAGCCCCCCCCTTCGCCCCCGCCGCGCAAGGTCGTCACCATCGGCGGCAGGGAGTTTCAGTTCAAGAAGAAGCCCGGCGTCGCGGACCTCCTCACCATCGCCGACGCGCTCGCGCGCGAGCCGCGCGCGCCGCCGCCGCGGGTCGAGGAAGAGCCGCCGGTCGAGCGAGAGCCGGTGCGGGTCGAGCCGCCGCCCGTCGATCCGCCGCGGCACCGGCGCGAGCCCTCCTGCGACGTCCTCGACCAGCTCGCGACGGTGCTCGAAACGCTCCAGGTGCCCGAGGAGCAGGAGCCGAGCGCCGCGGCCGGCGTCGTCGGCGCGCAGGAGCTGGACCCCGTGTGGGCCGCCGCGACACCGGCCGCGGCGCCGGCGGACGCCAAGGGCTGGGGCTGGGCCGCGTCCGCGCGCGCCGAGGCGGAGACGGCCGCGGCGGCGCGCGCCGAGGCCGACGCGGCGGCGCGGCTCCGGGCCGACGCGGCGGCCGAGGCCCGGGACGAGGCCGCGGGCCGACGCGGCGCGGCCGTGGACGCCGAGGCGCGGCGCGTGCGCGCGTGGCAGCGGCGCCGCGAGGAGGCCGAGGCCGAGCGGGGGGGCGCGCCGAAGCGCATGAGCGAGGAGCGGCGGATCAAAATTTTCGTGTCGCAGCACAGGCCGGCGCCGTGCTGGCCCCGGCCGCCGATCGGCGCCGAGCCCTGCCGGGCCTGGGTCTACGCGGGCGGCTGCCCCATGGGCGCGGCCTGCGCCTTCGCGCACGATCCCGTCGCGCGCGGGGCCGGCCTCTGCGACGCGGCGGACGAGCGAGCGGGGCGCCGCTCGCGCCGGCCGAAGACCAGCGGCACCCCGCTGACGACGCCGCCCATGCTGGCGCTCCCCTTTCCGCCGCTCCTGCCGCCGCCGCCCCCGCCGCCCTTTGGGTTCCCGCCGCCGCCGCCGCCGCCGCTGGCCGGCTTCCCGCTGCCGCCGCCGCCGCCGCTGGCCGCCTTCCCGCTGACGCCGCCGGTTTCGCCCGTGCGGTTTCCCCCGCCGTTGCTCCCGCCGTGCGTGCCCTACGCGACGCGCTACACGGCGCTCGCGAACGGGACGAGCGCGAGAGGCCGAGCGTCGCCCGGTAGCGGGACCGCGTGAGGCCCCAGACCTTGGCCCGCCGGCGGCGAATCGCGCGCCTCGTACTTCTAGTAGTAGTAACCGAGGCGCTACGCGCGGCCGGCTCACGGAGAAATACACAGGCATTATCAGATCATCGGAGTTTCAGTTCAGGCGCGCGGCCTCGTCGGCGCTGCGGACGAGGTCGGCGTAGTGGGCCGACGCGTAGAGCGGCGCGGGCTGGACGCGCAGGGCGCCCGGCGTGGCGGGCTCGGTCCACTGCGGCGCGGCCGCCTCGTCGCGGCCCGCGTAGATGCCGTCGGCGACGTAGTGCGACGACGGGAAGGGCGCGGCCGGGCCCGCGCCGGCCGACTTGGCCTGGGCGAGCTCCATGGCCGCGAACTGCGCCTGCTGCACGGCGAAGCGCGCCTGCTGCATGGCCGCGGCGTGGCCGGCCTTGTAGCCCGCGGCGTTGCCGGCCTTGTAGCCGCCGTCGCCACTACCCCTGTTGCGGTTGCGCCGCCGCGTCTTGGACTTGCTGGGCTGCGGCGCGTAGGCGGCGTAGGCGTCGGGAAGGGCCGCAGAGCGGGAAGGGCCGCCCGTAGGCGTCGGGAAGGGCCGCCCGTCGGGAAGGGCGCGCAGAGCGGCGGCGATGCCGGGCGAGAGCGTCGGCGGCGGGAACGGCGGCGCGCGAGGGTCCGGGAAGCAGGCCGGCGCGCCCGCCGGGGGGAAGAACGCCGGCGGCATCGGCGCGCCCTTCGGCAGCGCCTGGAGGACGACCGGCTCCCGCCGGGGAGGGCTCGTCAAGGGCGTGGCCCGGGGCGCCCGCGCGGCCGCCGGGGCGGCCGCCGCCGGGGAGACGTGGACATGATGCCCGCCGCGGTCGCGGCCCGCGATGAGCCCGGCGACGTAGGCGGCGGCCGCGCTGGACGCGGCCCCGGCGTCGCCGGCCGCCGGCGTGAACGCCGGCGCGTCGGCGCGCTGGCCCTTCTCGGCCGCGGCCTCGGCCTTGGCCGCGGCCTTGGCCTCGGCCGCGGACGTGGCCGCGGCCGCGGACGCGAGCGCGGCCTTGGCGGCCGCGGCGGCCTGGGCGGCGGCGGCGGCCTCGGCGGCCAGGGCCTCGGCCTCCCAGAACCGGGCGGCCTCCGCGGCCTCCGCGGCCGCCACGGCCGCCGCGGCCTCCTCGGCGTCCTTCGCGACCGCGGCCGCCGCGGCCTCGGCCTCCTCCTGCCGGAAGAGCTCCGCGAGCTCGGCCCGCGCGGCCTCGGCGTCCATGGCCCCCCGCGCCGCGGCGGCGGCGGCGGCGTCCATGGCCGCGAGCGCGGCCCGCGCGGCGGCGGCGTCCATGGCCGAGAGCGCCGCGGCGCCGGCCTCGGCGTCCATGGCCGCGCAGGCGGCCGCGTCGGCCTCGGCGCCGAGCCGGTCGAACTCGGCCGCGAGCGCGTCGAACGCCGCGGACGCGGCCGCGGCGTCCAGCGCCGCCGAGGCCGCGGCCTCCGCCGCGCGCCGGTCCGACGCGAGCGCGGCGGCCGCGGCGCGCGCGTCGGCCGCGGCCGCCGCGCGCGACCGCGCCTCGAGGCTCGGCGCCGCGAGGGCCGGGAACTCGGTCGCCGACAGGGGCGCCGCGCGCCGCGGGGGCGCCGCGGCCGGCAGGTCGTCGACGGTCCACGCCTTGTCCGGCTCGAAGGGCCTCATCGTCGCGACGTCGAGCACGACCTGGACGTCGGCGCGGCAGCTCGGGCACGTCGTCGACGAGCTGCTCTTGAGCACGAGCTGCTGGTGCCACCCGAGCCAGCAGCGGCGGCAGAACTCGTGGCCGCCGGCGCAGTCGACGCGGACCGTATCCGCGAGCTCCTCGAAGCAGATGGCGCACTCCGCCTCCGGGTCGGCGGCGGGCGCGGCGGCGGCGGGGGCCGCCGACGCGGCGGCGGCGGGCGCGCCCTCGTCGAGGCCGGGGGGCGGCGATTCGTCGAAGGAGTTCGACGCGGTGACTCGATGCGTCGGTTCGTCGCGGACGACCGCCTCGGCCCGGGCGGCGATCGCGCGGCGGAAGCGGACGCGCTCGCCCATCTTCATGCCGACGTGGATGAGGAAGGCGTCGTCTCGGGCGATCTCGTGGAGGATGTCGTCGCCGATCTCCTCCTCGAGGAATCGAAGAAGGTACTTCTGCATCCCGAGCTCCGCGAGGACGGCGCGAAGTTGGGCGTGGGGCGTCATGTTGTCGTCAGGGGCCTCGGGCACACTACATGGGGGCCCCGCTCGCGGCTGGGCGCCCCCCCCCCCGGGTCGGATCGAAGACCGACGTCGATTCCGGGCGCGCGTCTTTCACAGCTGAAAGCGTCTTTCACAGCAAGCCCGTCGCCCAACTTGAAGGCCTACTCGAAGCCAGAGGCGTAGGCTAGGCGTCGACGACGAGGCGTACGACGACGCCTGGGACGCGCCCACGCCTACCCTGGCCCAAAAAACACACGCCACCGAAAACCGAAACTACCCGAAGAACCCGGCCCAGGAGGACTTGTCGATGAGGCGCGTCGCGCCGTGCGGGATGGACGTGCGGAGCGCCTTGCGCCGCTTGTCGCCGAGGCAGCGCATGGCGCGGCAGCGCGCGCCGAGGATGGCGAGGTCGCCGTTCTTCGCCAGGAGCAGGGGCAGGTGTTTGAGGTCCGCGGCCGCGCGCGCGTCGCCGTTCGCGTACGCGTCGGCGAGGAGCGGCAGGAGCGGCGCGAGCGTGTCGAGCACGCCGCCGCCGGCGACGAGGTAGAGCCCGCCGCTCGGCGACCCCCGCAGCGCGACCTGGCGGAGCTCGGCGCCGAAGGCCTCGAGGAAGAGCGTCGCCGCGCGGAGCGCGAGCGCGTCGTCGTTGACGGCCGCGTCCGCGACGGCCCGGGGCCGCTCCGGCGGCGGCACGGCCAGGATCGCCTCGCCCGCGCCGTCGCCGCGCCGCGCCGCGAGGAACTCGTAGATGTTCGCGAGGCCCGGCCCGGAGACGACGGCCGCGACGGGCGCCGCGCCGTCGCGGTCCACGAGCCACCGCCGGAGCTCCCACTCGAGGTCCGTGCGCGCGCAGAAGTCCGTGCGGCCGCCGTCGCCGCGGACGGCCACGTAGGCCGGCGCGTCGCCCGACGGGTCCGGCAGCAGGAGCGCCTCCTCGAGGGCCGCGCCGCACGCGACGCACGCGCGCGCGGCGCCCGGCGCGGGCGCGCGCTGGTCCGGCAGCGGCGCGACGTCGGCCTCGGGGCAGAGCGCCAGGCCGTAGGCCTCGGCGACGAAGGTCTCGAGGAGCACCGCGCGCTTGACGACGGCGCCGAGCGCGACCTCGAGGTCCGCGCGCGCGTCCGCGGCCCAGCCCGGCGGGCCCCGCGCGCCGGCCGCGCGGGCGCACATGGCGACGCAGGCGCCGTGGACGACGGCGCCGGCGTAGCGGCCGCTGCAGCGCACGCTCGCCTCCTCGCCGTCGGGCACGGGGAACGAGCAGTCGAGCAGGAAGCGCCGCGCCAGCGACTCGAGGTCCCCGAAGAGGCAGGACTGGTACCAGCGGTCGTGCGCCAGGTTCGGCGCGCCGTCCGACGGGCCCATGACCTCCCAGAGCTGCATGCGCGCGTGCGCGGGGCCCACGTCGGCGCACATGATGCGCCAGACCATCGCGCTGACGGCAAGAGGCAGCCAGATGAGGCAGCCCGGCGATGCGACGGCACCGTGCCGAGCACGGTGCCGTCGGAGAGCACGGCCATCCACTCGTCCCCGGGGCAGCCCCATGTCGTCGCCGCGGTCCGCGAGCCGGCGCCACGTCGTCGTCGGCGCGCCCATCTACGAGCAGTCGTCGGTCTTCGGCGCGCACGTCTCCTACGCCGTGGCGTCGTGCACGGCCCAGTCCCGGGGCGCCTGCGTCTGCGTGCGGCGGCGCTTCACGGACTTCCGGGCGCTGGCCGCGTCGCTCGAGCGGCGCTACCCGGGCCTCAAGGGCCACCTGCCCGAGTCGTCCCTGCTCGGCGGCCTCTTCGCCGACCCCACGGAGTCGCGCGCGGCGCACACCGCGCGGCGCGGCCGCGCGCTGACCGCGTGGCTCGACGCCGTCTGCGAGCACCGCTACGCGTCGCGCGACGCCGTCGTCGAGGCCTTTTTGAAGGTCGCGCCCTACGGCGAGTGGGAGCGGCTGCGCGCGGCGCTCCTGCGCAGCGACGAGGACGACGCGCGCGTCGCGTGCCAGACGCTGCGCGCGGCGGACCCGCGGCGCGACGAGGACCCCGCGGGCCCGGAGAAGGCCTGGCGCCAGGCTTTGGGCGGCACGCCCCAGGGCTGGGTGCCGCCCGTCATCGACGCCGCCCAGCGCGTCGAGACCGCCGCGGCCGCCGCGGCCCGGGCCGCGCGCGCCGTCGCCGACGCGGGCGCCGCGCACGCCGCGGCGACGGGCGGCCTCGCCGCCGCGCTCCGGGCCCTCGCCGACGCGGAGCGCGACGTCTTCCGGGACCACGCCAAGGGCGGGGCCTCGCTGAAGCGCTGCGGCGACGCGCTCGAGGCCGAGGCGGCCGAGCTCGCCGCGCGCGCGGACGCCGTCGGCCGGTGGCTCGGCGCGCCGCTCCACCGCGAGGCCGTCCTCATCGGCGCCCTGCGCCGCGAGGCGAAGCGCGTCGAGCAGGCCGAGCGGAAGCTCAAGCCCGACGACGACGCGCGGGGCCGCTCCGACTCCGAGTCGAGCCGCTTGGCGCTCGACCTCGACGCGGCCGCGCTCACGCCGCGCTTCGCCGCCGTCTGCCGGCGCGGGGCCGCGCGCTACGCGGCGTCGCGCGCGCCCGCCAAGTCCCGGGGCGCCCTCGCGCGCTGCCTCGACGCCGTCGCCGGCGACGGCGCCTTCGACCGCGCCGCGGCGCTCGCGGTCGAGCCGCCGGCGGGCCGCGACGCGCCGGACGCGCCCCTGATCGACGCGCTGGCCGCCGCGCTGGCCGCCGCGGGCGTCAGGGGCGGCTCCGCGACGAACCTGAACGCCGAGGCCGCCGACGAGCCCCGGAGCCGGCCGCCGCCGTCGGCGCGCGCGCGGAAGGCCTCGGTCAAAAAGAAGAAGGCAGACCGGCCGTCGTCGGAGCCGAAGCGCGCGTCGCCGCCGCCGCCGCCGCCGCGCCGCGCGTCCGCGCCCGAGCCGCCGGCCGCGAAGCCGCCGCCGCCGCCGCCGCGCCGCGCGACGGCCCAGCCCGCGAACCTCCTCGCGGCCATCAGCGGCTTCGACAAGTCGAAGCTGGACGCGGCCGACGCGCCCGCGGCGCCCGCGCCGGGCCGCGGCCCGCCGCCCATGCCCGCGAGCAACCCCATGGCCGCGGCCATCGCGGCCCGGCGCGCGTCCATGAGGAACGCGAGCGACTCGGACTAAGATCTAGATTTTCGCTGATGCAAGTTGCCGGTCAAGAAAGAATGCTTGAACGGGGCAGCAGTGCGCGCCATCGTCGTGCTCACAAGTTGCGCCATCCGTACGTCGTCACTGATCTCACCTCGTGGCCATGCAATCGGCAGAACGAGAGGCGCGCGGCGGGCGATCATGGATGACGCGTTTCTTCGGCGGCGGTCGAATGATGCCGCGGACGAAGGCCACGAGGAAGACTGGAACCGCTTCGAGCTGCTTTACGGGAGTAGGCGGAGGGATCGCGCGGAGCGGCTCCTAAACGCCGTGATCCGGCAGCCCATCTCGCTCGTCGTCGTCGTCGTGTCGAGCTGGTGCTTCCTGCCGCGGCTCGCGGAATCGAGGGCCATCTTGCTCAGCGCGCAAACGGAAGCCGCCTTCTCGGCCTTCAGCGGCCTCGAGAGCGTCGTCATCGGCGCCCTGTCCATCACGCTCGGCACGCTGATCTCGACGGCCGTCAGCGTCCTGCGGCAGCGGCAGCAGGAGCTGCGCAAGAGCCTCTGCGACGAGGCGTCGCTGCTCGAGACCATCGCGCAGCAGCACACGAAGCTCTTCCGGTGGGACAAGGGCCGGCTCCGACGATCCATGGCCATCCTCTCGACGTACATCTTCGAGATGCGGCGGTCCATCGTCGTGTCCAAGGAGATCGGCGCGGGCAGCGGCACTTCGTACTGGCGCGCGCACTGGTCGGCGCAGTCGTCGCGCGTGACGGCGCTGCTCGACGTCCTCGCGGAGTGCGGCGACGCGATCACCAGCGGCCCCAACTTCGGCTTCTCGCCCGGCTCCGCCGCCATCACCATCGACAAGACGGAGACGCTGCTCGTGCGGCTCAACGCCGCGCGCCAGGAGCGGCGGAGCGTGCTCGAGTCCGCGTTCCCGCCGGGGCTCTACCTGACGATGGCCTGCCTCATGGCCAGCCTGCTCTACTGCTTCCTGCTCCGCGCGGACACGATCTCGGGGTCGCGGTCCGCGACGCTCGCGGGCTTCCTCGCGGAGACGCCCGTGCGGGCGCTCTTCGTCTTCATGACGACGTCCTTCTACGCCATCCTGCAGATCCTGGCGGATCTCGACGACCCCTACAGCGGCGCGTTCCGGACCGCGCGCGGGACCGCGTCAGGGGCGCCGTCGCGCTCGGCGACGAGCCCGAGGCCTTCGAGAAGGACCTCGCGGCCCAGTACTATCGGCCCGACATGCGCCTCGACGACGCCCTGGCGGACGCCGCGGAGCGGGGGTAAGAGCCTCCTAATTATCAGACGCGTGGCTCCGCGTCGCGCCTCGTCTGGTCGTACTCGCCCCTCTATGGGCCCGACGTGCGCCTCGACGATCAAGTCCGGCGGGGCTTACGATCAAGTCCGGCGGGCGGGGCGCGGATCGCGGCTCAGGGCGTGCTTCGTGGGCGCCTAGGCGAGCATGACGACGCCGGCGAGGGCCGCGGAGAGCGCGGCGAGGCCCGCGGCCGCGGCGGCGCAAGTCTCCCCGTTTTCTCCGATGATATCGCAGCAAACCGGCCTGACGCGCGGCGCGACGAAGTTGTTGTAGTCGTCGCACGGCGAGGTCCTGACGATGAGAGAATTATCCTCGGCGATGCAATTCTCGACGTCGCAGAGGGCGAGAGGGAACGTGCCGGTGATGTGGTTGTGGTAGAGCCACCTGTGACGCCGAGGCGCGGTCGCGCGGCGCGCCGGGCGTCGGGGGCGCGGGGGGAACTCGCAGGGACTTCAGGTTCGTGAGCTGTCCGAACTCGACGGGGAGCGTGCCGTTGATCTCGTTGTCGTTGAGGTACCTGCGACGCCGAGGGACGGTCGCGCGGCGCGCCGGGCGTCGGGGACGCGGGGGGAACTCGCAGGTACGTCAGCTTCGTGAGCTGGCCGAACTCGACGGGGAGCGTGCCGGTGATCTTGGTGTTGGTGAGGTACCTGCGACGCCGAGGGGCGGTCGCGCGGCGCGCCGGGCGTCGGGGACGCGGGGGGAACTCGCAGGGTCGTCAGCGCCGTGAGCTGGCCGATCTCGGTCGGGATCGGGCCGTCGATCTTGTTGTTTTCGAGCCACCTACGACGCCGAGGGACGGTCGCGCGCCGCGCCGGGCGTCGGGGACGCGGGGGGAACTCGCAGCAACCCCAGCTTCGTGAGCTGACCGATCTCGGTCGGGATCGGGCCGTTGATCTTGTTGTCGGTGAGGTACCTGCGACGCCGAGGGGCGGTCGCGCGCCTCGCCGGGGGTCGGGGACGCGGGGGGAACTCGCAGCTCCGTCAGCGCCGTGAGCTGGCCGATCTCGGTCGGGATCGGGCCGGTGATGCCGCACTCCCAGAGCCGCCTGCGGCGCCGAGGGGCGGTTCGCGCGCCGCGCCGGGCGTCGGGGACGCGGGGGGAACTCGCAGGTACTTCAGCGCCGTGAGCTGGCCGATCTCGGTCGGGATCGGGCCGGTGATCTGCTTGTTGTAGAAGTTCCTACGAGGGGGCGCTCGCGCGCCGCGCCGGGCGTCGGGGACGCGGGGGGAACTCGCAGGTACGTCAGCGCCGAGAGCAGGCCGATCTCGGTCGGGATCGTACCGGTGATGTAGCTGGAGTAGAGGTTCCTGCGACGCCGAGGGGCGGTCGCGCGGCGCGCCGGGCGTCGGGGACGCGGGGGGAACTCGCAGGTACTGCAGCTTCGTGAGCTGGCCGATCTCGACGGGGAGCGTGCCGTCGATCTTGTTGTTTTGGAGCGACCTACGACGCCGAGGGGCGGTCGCGCGCCGCGCCGGGGGTTGGGGACGCGGCGGGAACTCGCAGGTACGTCAGCGCCGTGAGCTCGCCGATCTCGTGCGGGATCCCATCGCTCGGGCCGCCGTCGAACTCGTTGTACTCGAGGTGCCTGCGACGCCGAGGGTCGGTCGCGCGCCGCGCCGCGCGTCGGGGACGCGGGGGGAACTCGCAGCTCCGTCTCATCCAGGTCGATGCAATAGTCAAAGAACTTCCAGAACTGGTTGGTCCGGAGTTCGTGGTAGGGTTCTTCTTTATCGTCGCATACGGAGACTCCGTCGGAGAGTCGACGGAGCAGGTTCTTGGCGTCCTCGGACTCATCTTGCCCGGCGAAGGGCGCGTTGTCGAGGGCGCGAGAGGCCTGGCCAACAACGATCGCCGAGGAGTAGACCGTGAACTTCTTGATGCGGCGCAGCATGATGTCGAGGGCGGGGCGTACTGGACCTGCGCCGCGATCTCGGCGAAGCGGCTCGAGCCGGTCGACCGAGCGCGCGCGCGCGTCGCCTTTGGGGGCGCTCCCACGCGCGCGCACGCCACTGCAGATGTGTAAGCCGCGTCTTGGCGGGTACGCGAGGGCGTGCGCGCGCCAGGGGGCTTTTGCGGTCGAGTTTCGCGAGCTCGACGTTTCTTCGGCCCCTTCGCCGTTCTCAACGCCTTCGGGGTCCCCCTCTGAGGCGCGCGTCGGGCGATGCACTCTGTCGCGGGCGGGCGACGCGTGACAACCCCCCAAACGGCGCGAGAGCGCGCACAAAGCCCGCGCCGGCGCGCACGAGACGATGATGCCGTGTCTGAGTGCTGATTTCTGTGGAGAAACGTAGAAACGATCGCCAGCGGCAAATTCACGCCGCCGTCCACTGGCGCCTCCGGCGCCTGTGAGACCCCTCTGAGCCTCCCGTCCCCCGCGGTTCCTCCCGGGCCCCCTACGTTTAGAGACGCGTCAAGGCAAATCACGCCGTGGCGACGGCTCCCTGTCGCAAAACGCCGCGGAGCGGGGTCAGAGGACCGTACTTATCAGACGCGCGGCTCCGCGTCGCGCCTCGTCTGGTCGTCGTGCTCGTACTCGCCCCACTCGGCCGGGAGGATCCAGATGGGCCGGAAGAACATGAGGTCCTGCTGGCTCCGGTTGAGGTCGTCGTTGAGCTTGAGGGCGCGGTCCGCGTGGTAGTCGCGCTTCGCCTTGTTCTCGCAGGCGTCGTCCGTCGCGTCGACGAGCTGGTGGTGGATCATGCTCAGGTAGTAGTGGGCGTCCTGCATGCGCTTCCAGTTCTGGACGTAGGTGAAGGCCTCGAGGGCGCGGCCGTAGTAGGTGAGGGGCCGCGAGAAGTCCTTGAGGCCCTCGGCGACGACGTCCTTGTGGATCTCGGGCGACTTCGTCGCGTAGGCCTTCTCGCGGAGCTCCGTCTCCGCCAGGGCGTACCACGCGTCGCCCTGGAGCTGGACGTGGCTGTGGCCCAGGAGCTTGGGCAGGGCGCCCTGGATGAGGCTCCGCGCCTTGGCGACGCTGCCGAGGTAGACGTTGACGCGGCCGAGCGCGAAGGCCGCCTCCGCGTGGAGGTGGTCGAGCGCGAACTTCTCGCAGAGCGCGAGGCACCGGAGCGCGGGGCTGAGCGCCGGCACGGGCGACTGGGGGCAGGCGTCCAGGCGCCAGTGCGCGCCGAGCATGAGGCACTCCGCCTGCTGCGCCCACAGGCCCTTGCGCCCGCAGTAGCGCTCGAGCTCGTTCATCGTCTTCACGGCGCGCTCCCAGCGCTCGCGCCGCGCCAGGAGGCGCGCGGACGCGCGCACGGCCTCGACGTGGGCCTCGGGCCCCAGGTCGGCCTGGACGGGGCTCACGCCCAGCAGCGCGGACGCGAGCGCCTCGGCGCGCTTGTTCGCGCCGCGGTGCAGCGCCCACTCGAACTTGAGCAGGTACTCCGCGCGGATGGCGATGTTCGAGGACACGCGGTTCGACGCGTGGGCCCCCAGGCGCTCGAGGCGCCGCAGGGCCACGGCGTAGGCCACGCGCGCGCCGCCGCCGTCGCGGTCGCGCTCCCGGGGCCGGAAGTCGCCGTAGAGCGCGGCGAACGCCAAATCCGCGGCCGCGCTCTCGCGGATCGCGTGGGGCACGAGGCCGCCGCAGGCGTCGCCGTCGGCCGGCCGCGCGCCCCGGGAGCCCGCGCGCCGCGCCTGGCGCTCCGCGGCGCGCCGCGCCGTCGCCTGTGTGCAAATCAACCAGTGAGCTGGGACGTCGGGGCCAAACTTCAGAATTCTCTAGCTCGGTCAAATCGACGTCGATTCGGCTGACTTTTGGACGAATCGATTGCTCTCAGCGAGTTCTCGAAGCACGGCGGAAGTTCTCGTGTCAAAACATTCGAATACGCGCACATTGAAGTCGGGTTGAAGATTTGATTTCCACACAGGCCGTCGCGAGGAGCGCGCGCGACGCGAGGTTCGACATGCGGCGGAACCCGAAGTGGGTCCAGACGCCGCCCGCGACGGCGTGGCGCTTCGCCGCCGCCTGGGCGACGACGGTCCGCGGCGCGTCCGTGGCCACCGTGCGCCGCTCCGTGATCGCCGCGTCCTTGCCCAGCCCCGCGCCCTCGGCCTCGCCGAGCAGCCCCCGGCGCCGCTGCTCCGCGTCCCGCGCGAGGCGCTGCTGGGGCGTCATGGCCAGGTGGTGCGCCGCCGGGCCGTCGCGCTCGCCGGGCACCTCCAAAGCCTTCGTCGCGCGGCCTAAAAGCTCCCAGGCCGCGAGCGCGGACACGTGGAGGTCGCTCGGCTGGTACGCCGGCGTCGACGGGCTCAGCTGGAGCTCGTCGGAGGGCATGCCGTGGCGCACGCAGTCGACGGTGAACGCGAGCGTCGACGCCGCCTCGAGGTCGCCGAGCCCCAGCTCCTTGGCCCGGCCCGCGGCGCGCCGGAGCGCGTCGACGTTCGCGCCGCCGCCGTCGTCCTCGCCCGGCAGCGGCGGCCCGTGCCGGTCCGCGTCGGCCTCGCGCTCCTGCTCGTCGACGTGCTTGAGCCAGGACAGGGCGAAGGTCACGCAGGCGTGGTCGTGGCGCTGCTGCGCGACGCGCACGGCCTCGTCGATCGCGATCGCCGCCAAGCCGTGGTGGCCGAAGCGCACGTGGACCGCCGCCAGATTCAGCGCCGCGTACTGGGCGACGCCCCGCGCCGACTTGGCGTCGTTGGGGCTCCGCGGGCCGCCGCGGGCCCGCGCGTAGTCGAAGTAGCGGTGGAGCGCGTCCAGCGCCCCGAGGAGCTCGCGGTGGTGCACGCACGAGAGGTAGCGGAGGAACGACGCGCGCGGCAGCTCCGGCTCCAGCGCCTCGAGGAAGGCGAGCTCGCGCTCCGTCTCCTCGAGCGTCGACGTGCCGACGTCCGCGGACACGCTCAGGATGCGGCGCTCCAGATAAAGCTCGAGCTGCCGCGCGGTAAGCAGCGACAGGTAGAACGCGCGGCGCGACGACGACGACGCGGCGACGACCGGCGGCGGCGCCGGCGGCGCGGGCGGCGAGGTTTCCTCGTCGAAGGACCCCGCGCGGCCCCGCGGCGCCGCCGCGGCCGCCGCGGGCGGCGGCGCGGGCGGCGCGGCGGCGACGTCCTCGCGGTACGCGCTCTGGTAGACGACGAGGCGGTCGTAGGTCCCGACGACGCTGTCGAAGTGGCGCAGCGACGCGTCGAGCAGCGTGCGCCGGAGGAAGAGGCCGAAGACCGACTCGCCGTCGACGTGCGTCGTGAAGCACGCGCCGCGCCGCGCCTTCTCGCCCGCCGACGGCTTCTCGAGGCGGCGCCGCAGGTCGTCGAGGAAGTCGACGAGCGCGTCGGGCGACGCCGTCAGGCCCTCGAGCTCGCGCGCGCACCAGCCGGCGACGCGGTCGCCGAGGCCGTCGGCCGCGGGGGGTTCCGACGCGTCGAAGCACCGCGCGAGCCGCGCGAGGACGGCGAACCACGGCATCGTCGCGACGGCGTCCTCGACGCCCTCGATGGCCTGGATCTCGTCGAGCAGGAACTGGGCCACGGCGAAGAGCTCCTCGGCGGCGAGCTCGGGCCGCGCCGGCGCCTCGTCGTCGCTGGCCTCGTCCATGTCGTTGAGGCGGTCGTCGGGCAGCAGGAGCTGCATGACGACGCAGACGCCGATGTTGAACGGGTTGGCCATCGCGGCGCGCCGAGCGCTGCGAACGCGCCTCGCGGTGTCGGGCGCTGCGGCGCGGTGTCAGGCGCTGCGGGCGGCTCGACTACGCCTTGACCTTGGCCATGCGCTCGCGGAGAGCGGTTCAAGATGCCATCGTTTGCCTCGAGGTGCAGCCCGAAGGCGACGATGGCCCGGCTCTCCCTAGCCCAATAGACGCGCCAGCCCGCCGGCGCATACGAAGGAATGATGGCCCTCGCATCGGCCGCAGACCCGCGGCGCACGCTCGCCTGCTTCCTCGCGCTGCGCCTCGCCGGCGCGGCGGAATGCTCGAAGTCTCCCCACGCCTGGCGTGGACCGCGGCTCGCGCCGTCGATCCCGCCCTACGGCAATCGCACGCAGCTCCTCACGGACTGGGGCCTGAACGTGACGGCGACGCCGGGCGTCGACGACCATCCGAACCCGCTCATGCGGCGCGCGGCCTGGTGCTCGCTCGACGGCGTCTGGGAGCTCGACCGCTTCGCCGCGGACCTCTCGTCGCCGCCCTTCGGCGGCGGCGACCTGCCGGAGACGATCCTCGTGCCGTTCCCCATCGAGTCGGCGCTCTCGGGCGTGCGGAACACGACGGCCCGCGACGCCGCGTGGTACCGGCGGACCTTCTCGGCGACGATCGACGCGCCGCGCGTCGCGCTCGGCGTCCCAGGACGTCCTGTGGCCGTGACGATTTTCGAGAGCTTTTGACCGAGAAAATGACGAAAAGGTCGTCACCGACGTGCGTGGTAGGTCGCGCTCCACTTCGAGGCCGTCGACTGGGAGGCCCGGGTCTACGTCGACGGCGTCTTCCTCGGGTCGCACCGGGGCGGCTACGACGCCTTCTCGTTCGACGTCACGGACCTCGTCGGCGCGCGCGACGAGCACGAGCTCGTCGTCGGGGTCTACGATCCGAACGAGCGGGGCCCGCAGCCGCACGGCAAGCAGAACTGCGGCAAGCTCGGGCACGCGTTCGGCGTCGGCTACGCGTGCACCTCGGGCATCTGGCAGGCCGTCTGGCTCGAGGGCCTCGCGTCCGCGGCGACGGTGCCGCCCGACGGCTTCGTCGCGACGCCGACGGCCGCCCTCGACGGCGTCGCGCTCGATGTTGTCGACGCGGCCGCGCTCGTTTCCGCCGGCGCGGACGCCGTCGAGGTGGCCGTCGACGGCGACGCGGGAATCTCCTGGCGCCTCGCGGACGCGCCTCCCGTGCTCCGCGTGCGCGCGCCCGCGCGGCTCTGGCGGCCCGGAGCGCCGGAGCTCTACCGCGCGACGGTCCGCGTGCGCGACTCGGAAGGCGCGGTCCTCGACGAGTTCCGGACCTATTTCGGCATCCGGACCATCTCCGTCGCGCTCGACGCGCGCGGCGTGCCGCGGCCGTCGCTCAACGGCGCGCCCGTCTTCCAGTTCGGCGTGCTCGACCAGGGCTTCTGGCCCGACGGCGTCTACACCCCGCCGAGCGACGCCGCGATCGCCTTCGACGTCGCGGCCCAGAGGGACCTGGGCTTCAACGCGCAGCGGCACCACCTCAAGGTCGAGTCGCGGCGCTGGTACTCCCACGCGGACGCGCTCGGGCTGATGGTCTGGCAGGACATGCCCGCGCCGCAGTGCGGCGGCTACGGCAACCGGTCGAACTACGCGACGATGCAGGACATCTACCTCCGCGAATTCGCGCGACTCGTCGCGACGCGGCGCGGCCACCCGTCCATCGTCCAGTGGGACGCCTTCAACGAAGCGTGCGCCACGAAGTACGACCACGAGCGCGAACCGGATCTGGCATGGTATGCGAGAGTCAGCGCGGTCGCGCGCGCCGCGCGCGACGGCCGGCTCTTGGACATCTGCTCCGGCTGCGACGACGCCGGGTTTGGAGACGTCAAGGACGAGCACCGCTACGCGCGAAAGCCCGCGGACCTGAAGATGGCGCCGTGGAACGCGAGCGCGCGCCGGCCGTCGCTCGTCGGCGAGATCGGCGGTTTCGTGTCGGTGGTCGAGGACTGGGAGCCCGACCAGAGCCCGGGCTGGGCCAACGGCTCCAACGTCTCCGGCTGCCTCGCGACGGCGCACTGGGCGGGCTACGAGGTCTTCAGCGGGGCCGCGGGCCGCGAGGCGATGACGGCCGCCGCGGCGGACCTCTTGGGCAACATCGCGGGCGTGATCAACGGCACCGCGACCGTTTTGGCGCCGCTCGACGGGTTCTACGCCGTCGACGGCGAGGCGATCGACGAGCTCGAAGGCACGTCGCTGGACGGCTGCGGGCAAGCCTGCGACGCGCTGGACGCCTGCGTGGCCTGGGACTTTGCGGACAGCTGCACGCGCTACGGGACGCTCCTTTCCTTCTCGCCGCGGAATCATACGCGCGCGGGCCACAAGGGCTTCCGCCGCGCGGGCATGTCGTCCGCGATCCTCACGCAGAGCGTCGATACGGAGACGGAGTGCGACGGTCTCTTGACTTACGATCGTCGGATCGCCAAGTACGACCGGGAGCCCCTCCGCGCCGCGGCGCGCGCGCTCGTCGACGCGCCCCTCTAAAATGTGCTGGTCAAATCCAGAGCAGGACTAGCAAGGACTTACTAGGTGTACATGGCGATCTCGAGCTCCTTCGCGACCTTCCGGGGCACCTTCGGCGCGTCGTCGTCGGCGGCGGCGGCGTCGCGCATGCGCTTGCCGGCGCCGGCGAAGGCGAGCGCCTTCGGCACGTCCGCCGGTTTCGCGTCGTCGTGGAAGATCTTGTCGAAGCCGCCGAGGCGGAAGTTGACGGAGAAGCGGGGCTCGTTCGTCGCGTTGAGCACCGCGTGGACGGCGTCCTCGCGGACGTTCCAGTCGACGTGGATGCCCTCGTCCTTTGCCTCGTCCGCGATCGCGAGCACGCGCATGCCCCAGAGCTGGCGCGGCCGCACGTGGAGGCCGATGCAGCCCTTGCCGTAGCCCTTTTCGCGCGGCGCGATGAGGATGAGCGACGCGGTCTCGCTGTAGGTCACGATGTTGTCGCCGCTGCCGTCGATGTCGGGCAGCTCGTTGAGTCGGCCGCGGTCGTCCGTGTGGAACGGGTAGTAGCCGCTCGCGTTCATGTGGTTGACGTTGATGCCGACGTCGCCCTCGTCGAACTTGATCACGCCCGTGGCGCCGACCTCGCGCCGGCGCCAGTCCCGCGGCTTCTTGGTCAGCAGGGGCAGCGCGTCGTCGCCCATGGCCCTGCGGACCGCGGCGACGACGTCGCGCGTGATGCCGCCCCACGTCTTGTCCATGCGCGTCAGCTCGAGGCCCCGCACGGCCTCGTCGCGCCGCGCGGCGTCGATGACCGCGAAGCGCAGCTCGTTGGGCGGCAGGTACGCGCGCTTCGTCGGCACGCCCCCCTCGGCCGCCGTGGGCCGCCGCGCGCCCTTGCCCTTGTCCTGCTCGTGGTGGCCCCAGGGCTTCCAGTTCTTCCCGTCCGCGTCGACGCCGCCCGCGCGCATGGCGCGCAGCTCCGCGTCGATGCGGTCCGCGAGGGCCGGCGGCGCGTCGAGCTGGAGCGTGCCCGCGAACCACGACGGCAACTCGGTCGAGAAGAAGAGCCCCGACCGCGACGCGCCGAGCTCGAACGTGCCGTCGGACGTGCCGTTGGGCTGGAGGTCGCCGATGACGAGGCCGTCGTCGAGGAAGTGGCAGCCATTCAAAATCTTCCGGTTCTCCTTGCGCAGGCCGCCGGCCGCCGCCATGTGGGCGTCGATGAGCTTGACGGCGTCGACTCGGTTAGCCGCGCCGCATTTTTCTCGCACGGCCTTGTCCCGCAGCTTCTGCCACTTTGCGTCGTTTTTCGGCTTCATCCTGCGCGGCTCCAGCATGTCGACCAAGGTTCAGGCGGGCCGGAGCCGCGCCGAATGCGTCGAGGTTCGCAGGTGCTGCACCAGGTCGGGCCCCGACAGGCCGCAGCTCCGCGCGGCGCCAAAGTTGAACAGCACCTGAAACTTCCGGGTGCCCTCGTCTCAACGCTGCCCTTGCGCAAGCCGCGCGAAGGCTCGAGCCGCATCTTCCGCAGCCCCCGCGCCCCCCGCGCCCCCCCCGAACCCCCCCGGGACATGCGGCGCGTGGCGCTCATGGCCGCGTACAGCGACCCCATCGAGCTCGCGGCGGCCTACAACGAGCTCGTGGAGCGCCACGACTACCTCGAGGACGAGCTCCAGAAGCGCATCGCCGACGTGCGCGTGCTGAAGAACAAGTACTCGACGCTCCAGGAGGAGAGCGTGGCCCTCCTCTGGGGCCGCCTCGCCGGCGCGCCGGGGGACCTCGCGGCGCTGCCGCCCCTCGACGCCGCCGTCGCGGAGGCCGAGGACCGCGTCGGCCGCTACGCGCTCGGCCCGACCGTCGGCGCCGGGTCGTCGGCCGTCGTGCGCCTCGGCGTCGCCGACGGCTCGCAGGAGCGCTACGCCGTCAAGGTCGTCGACAAGGCCCGCGCGTCGCGCCACAAGGCCCTTTTGGCGCTCGCGAACGAGGTCCGCGCCTGCCGCGCGTGCCGCCACGCGGGCGTCGCGCGGCTCGTCGAGGCCATCCAGACGCCGGCGAAGCTCTACCTCGTCCTCGAGCACGGCGGCGAGGATCTGTACGCCCTCGTGACGCGCCTCGGCGGCGAGGGCGCGGCCGCGCTCTCGGAAAAGGCGTCGCGGTCCGTGCTCTCGCAGGTCGCGGTCGCGCTCGGCGCGCTGGAGCGCATGGGCGTCGTCCACCACGACGTCAAGGCCGAGAACGTGCTCGTCGGCGAGGACGCGTCCGCGGACTTTGTGGGGACCGTCAAGGTCACGGACCTGGGGCTCGCGCGGTTCTACGACCGCGGCGCGACGGCGAGTGCGTTCTGCGGGTCCCGCGGCTTCTACCCGCCGGAGATGGCGCTGCGCGCGGGCGGCTACGACCCCTTCCGCGCCGACGTCTGGAGCGTCGGCTGCGTCGCCGCGGAGCTCCTGCTCGGCCGCGCGTGGTTCTCCTACAAGTGGCTGCCGTGCTACGGCAGCGACCGCGACGCGGACGTCTTCCGCGCGCGCCTCCAGCGCGCCGTGAACGCCCTGCCGGCGACGCTGCGCCAGGCGAGCGCGTCACCCGACGCGGCCGCGTTCGCGCTCTCGGCGCTCGTCGTCGACCCGCGGCGCCGCGCGACGCTCGCGGACCTCCGCGCGCTGCCCTGGCTCGCGGCGTCGCGGGCCGTCGTCGACGACGCCGAGGCCGCGAGCCTCGCGTCGGCCTGCGCGGCCGTCGCCGACGCCGCGCGGCCCCGCGCGGTCGCGCCCGTCGCCGTCGCGCCCGCCGCGCCGCCGAACTCGCCGCGGCTGCCCTCCGTGGGCAGCCCCGCGACGCCCGCGACGCCCCAGCGCCGCTTCTTCGCCCACCAAGTCGCGCCCGACGCGGCCGCGTCGCCCAAGTCCCTCGCGCGCTTCCTCCGCCGCGGCCGCGCGGCCGGCCCCGCGCGCCCGGGCCCCGCGCGCCGCCGCCCCGGCGGCGGGCCGCCCCTCGACGCCGCCGTCGACGACGTCGCCGCGCGCCTCGACGCCGCCGCCGACGACCTCGACGGCGCGCGGCCGCGCGACGTCGCCAAGGCCGTCGGCGCCGCGGCGACGCGCCTCCTCAAGGCCGCGGTCGCCGCGCTGCGCCTCGACGGCGTCGCCGGCGCCGCCGGCGCCCTCGACGCCCTCGCCGAGCTCGGCGCGCGCTCCGCGGCCGCCGTCGACGCGTTCCTCGCCGCGGTCAACGCCGCGCCGCCGCCCGCGCCCGCCGGCGGCTGAGCGGCGGCTGAGGCTCCCTTGAAGTCCCATTCCCAGAGAGAAAGCTCCCCCTCCCCATGCCCCATGTTACACGTCCCAAGCCGTCGGACGGGCGACGCGTCGCGGCGGCCGGCGCACCGGCGGCAGCGCTGGCTGGTTGGGAGAAGATTTTCAAAACAGGCAGAGGCAGTGTCGCCCCGCGCCGCCCGCGCCGCGCTCTGTCAACGCCCGCACGCTCGCGCCACACGCCGTCGCGCGCTAGACAACGACGTCGATCTCGAGCTCCGTCGGCAAGACCGCGCACGTCGTAGCGATGTCGGACGACACCACGGTCCTCGCACTCTGTGTTTCGGCGCTGGACGAGTCGCGCGGGTCCTACAAGGTCGGCTGCGTGCTCTCCAAGCCCTGCGTCGCGAACGCGCCGGCGGGCGACGACGACGAGAGCCCCGTGCGGTCGTCGCTCCACGTCTACAGCTTCGACGACAGCCAGTTCCTGCTGTCGCTCGACGCGCTGCTCGTGCGCGAGAAGCCGGGCCTCGTCGTGATCGACAAGGCCCACGCCAAGGTCGAGGGCCTGCTGGCCCAGCACGGCGTCGAGCACGCGCTCCAGGACCTCGCCAAGGCCGGCTGGCCGCGGTCCGCGCGCGACGTCGCCGAACAAACCACCAAGTGCCTGCGCTTCGCCTGCGGCGACGCGGGCGTCGCGCGCCACGAGGCCTGCCTCGCGCCGCCCCTCGCGGCGCGGGCGGCGGCGCTGCTCCTCGAGCACCGGGGCCTCCGCGAGGAGCGCGCCGCGGACGCGGGCGCGTGCGAGCTCTGGCCCGGCGCTTTGGGGTCCCACATGCGCCTCGACTCCGCGGCGGCCGAGGCCGTGAACCTCGTGCCGGGCAGCGACGGCGGAAATGACGGCCTCGGCGCCGGGTCGCTCCTCGAGGTGTTGGGCGGGCCCTGCAAGACCAAGGCGGGCTACGCCTTGGTCGAGGCGTGGCTCCGCCAGCCGTCGCTGGACCTCGGCGAGATCACGCGGCGCCACGACGTCGTCGAGGTGCTGCGCGACGAGGGCGAGGCGCGCGACGGCCTGCGCGTGGCCCTCGGCGGCGCCGCGAAGGGCCGGACGGGCCGCGTGCCGGACTTGGGCGCGTTCGCCGCGAAGCTCCGGTCCGGCAAGGCGACGCTCCTCGACCTCCACAAGCTCCACGTCCTCGCGTCGCGCGTCCTGCCCGAGGTCGTCGACGCGTTGGCCGCCGTGCCCTGCGACGCGGCGAACGCGCTCGCCGCGGAGCTGCTGCCCGCTTTGAAGAAGGCCCAGCGCGACCTCCGCGGCTACTGCGACATGGCCGACGCGACGCTGGACCTCGAGTTCCTGCCGGAAGTGCTCCTGAAAGCCTCCGTCGACGAGGAGCTCGTCGAGCACGCGACGGCCATGCGCGAGGCGCGCGGCGCGATCGACGACGCGCACGAGGCCGTGAACCGCGCCGTCGACGACTGCGACGCGGTGGGCGCGCGGGGCTACAAGGCCGGCGGCGAGCGCGCCAAGTGGCCCGTGAAGCTCGACAAGGACGCCGCGCGCGGCCGCGTCTTCCGCTGCGTGCGGCGCTACGACGAGAAGTCGCTGAAGCAAGTCCGGACGGGCAAGGACGGATTGGAGATCCTCTCGTACCTCAAGAACGGCGTCTACTTCACGACGGAGGCCCTCGTCAAAGCCTGCGGGGCCTACCAGGCCGCGAAGGGCGACTACGAGCAGAGCCAGCGGGCGCTCACGGCGGAGCTCGTCAAGACGGCCGCGACGTACGCGCCCGTCTTCGCGCGGTGCGGCGGCGCGCTCGCGCGTTTAGACGCGCTGACGGCCTTCGCCACGGCCGCGGCCTTCGCGCCCGGCGGCGCTTACTGCCGGCCGGCGCTGGCGGCGGGCGACGGCGCGCCGCTCGAGTTGAAGGGCGCGCGGCACCCGGTCGTCGAACATCGCGACGGCGTCACGTTCATCGCGAACGACTACGCGCTCGGCGGCGACGCGGGAAGCCTGGTGTTGGTGACGGGCCCGAACATGGGCGGCAAGTCGACCTACATCCGGGGCCTCGCGGCCCTGGCCGTCATGGCGCAGGCGGGGAGCCTCGTGCCGTGCGAGGCGGCGGCGCTGCCGCTCTTCGACTCCGTGCTCGCGCGCGTCGGCGCGGGCGACTCGCTCACCAAGGGCGTGTCGACCTTCATGGCCGAGATGCTCGAGGCGTCCCAGATCCTCCACGTCGCGACGCCGCGGAGCCTCGTGATCATCGACGAGCTCGGCCGCGGCACGTCGACGTACGACGGCTTCGGCCTCGCCTGGGCCATCTCCGAGCACATCCTCCTCGAGTCCAAGGCCAAGTGCCTCTTCGCGACCCACTTCCACGAGCTCACGCAGCTCGCGGACGACCACCCGGGACGAGCGCGGAACCGGCACGTGTCCGCGCACGTCGACGACGACACGGGCAAGATCACGTTCCTCTACGAGGTCAGGGACGGGCCCTGCCTCGAGTCCTTCGGCATCAAGGTCGCCGAGCTCGCCGGCTTCCCCGACGCGACGCTCGCCGTCGCCAAGCGCAAGGCCGCGGACCTCGAGGCGCCGGGCGGCAAGCAGGCCAAGGTCGCCGTGTCGCCCTAGGTCTGGGCGCGTGCTAAGAAAAGTCTGCCGTGGTCCTCTTCTTCGAAAGATCGCGGGGGATTCGCGAGCCAGCGCCGCAAATCCTTAACCGGGGACTCACCGTTGAGTGCGTCCATAAAGTCTCTTTGCCTTTCCATGTCTTCACAAAAGCGGTCCAGGAACTCCGCCTGGTCAGTCGAGGTCCTCTTCTACCCAAAATGTCCACAGCTCGCTGAAGCCAAAAGACTGCCAGCGCCGCCGCAAGCTTTGGTCCGAGCGATGGCCTTGCACGGCCTCTACGCCGGCGCCATCGATGGTAAACACCTCGAACAAATCACGAGCGCCAGTGAATTCGCCGCCGACGCCTGGTCCTTCCCACACCTGCGACGCATACGGTTCCATCTCTGGAGACGAGTCCACGGCCCCTGCAGCCGCACGAGTTTGCCCGACGCGTCGCCGAATTATTGCATCTTAGACATCAATCACCTGGCGCGGTCGCCGGACGCGTGCGCGGGCGCGCTCCGACGGTGCGGCCTCGCGGCGAAGTTCCCGGACGACGACGGCGCGCGCCGCGTCGCGCACGAACTCGCGGCGCACGCGCGCGCCGCCGCGCCGAAACGCCGCGCCTGGTGCTGCGGCGGCGACGCCGAGGACGAAAGCGTCGTCGCACGGCGGCTCCGCGACGGCCTCGCGCTCCCGGAGCTCAACCGCGCGCTGCCCCGGGGCCTCGCGGCCTGCTTCGTAGCGTTGGGGGGCTTCCAGGCCGTCGTCCTCGAGGCCGACCCCGACGGGCCGCGATGGACTGGCTTGAGTCCGTCGGAGCACTTCCACCCGCGGCCCGTCGACGCGACGGAGTCCGCGGCGCTCTCCGCGCTCGCCGCGGCCGCGCGCGGCGAGCTCGGCGCGGCGCGACTCTGCGAGCGGCTCCGCGACGTCGCGGACTTCTACAACGCGGCCCTCGCGCGGGGCGCCCTCTACCGCGACTAGTGAATTATAATTATATGATTACGAGTATTCTACCTCGAAAGAACCGCCTCGCTTTTTGAGGATGATCTTTGCCCTGCAGACGTCATCATGGAATTCCGGTTTGGGCGATGTTGCCCAAGAACTTGATGCAAACAGCTGACTGTTCGCATCGCAGCTGAAATTGAGTAATAGTGGACAGCCTTCTACGAGTTTGAGCAAGTCTGAAGGAGCGATGAAGTCCCAATTGTAAAAGTTGCTCCCCTGAGGCCTCCACAAGGAGAAGAATTTGAGCGTCCGGGAGCACGGATGTGACAAGATCGTGTCAACCAGGGACCCAGGCGAGAGCGCTCCCGCGTCGTTCAGAGCAAGGTCATTCAAACTGAACCTGCATATGGCTTCGAAACAGGCGTCGTTGAATCCGAAGACGGCGGAGGATGGAAACGCGATGTATTCGAGTTCGGGCCGCGCGTCAAAGAGCGAAACGTAAAACGAGGCCTGAAATTTGGAAACAGACGTAGCATCAAGCCTGCAGATATTTGGTAGCTGTATGCTCCGGAGCTGATGACAACCAGCCGCGCAAGCGACGATCGTCTCCTCTGAGATGCGAGCAACGTTGTCAAAATTGACGTGCTGCAGACGAGCACACAAAGAAGTCCGCAAGATGCACTCCATCAGACCCGGTGAAACGCAGCAGTTGCGGAAGCAGCACTCTGTCGCTTTCGAGCATCGCAGGGCGCTCTGCTCGATCCCCTGGAAATCGACCGGAGCTCGAGAGTCGCTCCGTACCGTACCGAACGTGAGACGATCCAGCTCTGGGAAGTGCATCTCCCAACTTTCAGCTCCACTCGTGTCAGCTGAGCTCATGAACGGATTGCCGTCGAGCTCCGTGAGGTGTGGGCAGGCGCGCGCCACACTCTCAGCGATGTCGAGCCACTTCGCCTTGATCTCCGGGACCGGTCCAAGTAACCTAAGCGCACGTAAACGCGGACATGCTCGACAAATGTCGAGGAACCTCTCCGCTGATATTGCGGATCGCTGAACAGTAATGCGCTCCAGTCTGCCGCTTGTGTTCGCCACGAATGATGAAACCGAATCCAACGCGACCGAGGACTTCCCGGTGAACAACAAGTAATTGAACGTGACTCCGTAGACGGCCCCGACCGCCGAGATGATTCGGGGGTCTACCACGGAATCTACCGGTGGGTCCTCGAGAATACCCTTGGGTGGCTCAAAGACGATCGTGTCTTTCGATGCGCGCGCTCGAAGCGCCGCCCGCACCGAATCTCGGAACGCGACGGACACGCCGCGAACGTTGAGCACATCCGTTCGCGAGCGTTTTTGTTGTACTGCATAAGCGTAGTTCTCCCGCATGAATTCGAAAGTTGAGTGCTTTAACGTTTCATATTCCGCCCATTTTCGTCGCTCGATCGGATAGCCCCCCACCAAGAATGTCGCGATGTTGGTAAGGGCGTCGTCTGGCAGGGCTTCCATGTGGGTCCACGGGTAGCACGTAGGTCCAGAGGGCGCGCCCGGGGGGGGGAGGGGTGCCACGCAAGGTCGAGTGGCGCGCAGATAGGCGATCGGGTTGAGTGGACTCGGGTCGACTCAGTGTGGTAAAATGGAGCGATCCAAAGGCGAACGCCGTCCGCCGACTCGCCGGCAAAAAAAAACTCCATTAACTCCCGCCACGCCCCCCCAGGCGCCTCCGGCGCCCCGCGCGCATGGCGTCCATCGCGGGCTGGAGGGAGCAGGACATCGACAGGCCGCCGACGCCCTTCGGCGGCCGGTAGCCCGGCGGCGTGAAGTCCGCGGGGTCGAGGGGCGCGGCCGGGTCGACGATGATCGTCGACGGCACGGCCGCAAACGTCGCCGCGGAGAGGGAAAACGAGGATCTACGGCCATAAATCCGCTCCCGCGGATCCAAGCAGTCGCCGTCGCCGACGCAGTGCATGCCGAGCTGGACGACGAGCTTCGTCGCTTTCGCCAGATAGGACCACTCGCCAAAGGTCACGTCGAGACAGTCGTCGCACAAGCTCGGGTCGTTGCGCATGTCCAGATTGTCGTTGGCCAGCTTGTTCGGATGGCGGACGACGTCCGCGTCCGCGTCGACCTGTGTGGAAATCAACTTCAATGTGAGCGTATTCGAATGTTTTGACACGAGCACATCCGCTGTGCTTCGAGAACTCGATGAGAGCAATCGATCCGTCCAAAAATCAGCCAAATCGACTTCGATTTGACCGAGCTAGAGAATTTCAAAGTTTGGTCGGGACGTCCCAGAACACAGGCGTCGACGGCGCACACGACAACCCCCGCGTCGACGAAGCGCGCGGCGACGGCGGCCTTGGCCGCGGGCACGTTGCCCGCGAGGAAGATTCTCTTCCGCAAGCCTTCGCGCTCGAGGTAGTCGACGACGGGCTTCGCGACCTCCTCGAACGGCGGGAGGTCCGTGTACGCCGCCCACGGCGACTCGTCGAGCGACGGATCCTCGCCCGCCTCGTGCTTCTTCATCTGCGCGCTGTCCATGCGGAACAGGGCCTCGTCGCGCCCCTCGAAGGCCGTCGTGATCGCGCGGAAGTGCACCGTGACGTCGAACGACTCCGGCGGCGGCGCGCCGTCGGAGCATTCGGGCGCGACGCGCGACTGGAGCGCGAGCACCTCGCGGATGGCCAAGGTCTTGACCATGGGGTCCGCGTCCGCGCGCTCGAGGCAGTGCGCGTGGCGGAAGCGGCAGGGCCGCGCCCGCTTGACCTGGCACCGCGCGCCGAAGCCCCGCTGGTAGTTGACCTCGAAATCCGCGGGCCCGTACCCAAAGTCGCGGCGCCGGACGAAGGGCGCGTCGCAGCCGAGGCGCGAGCAGATGTGGCCGAAGCGGCCCTTCATCGGGATGAGCAGGGTCATGTTGCAGGGCACGGCCATCTCCGCGGCCATGATCAGCGCGTGCATCTGGTTCCCGTAGCCCTCGTTGTCGCCGTGGAAGTCGTGGACGCGCACGTCCTCGCAGTACGGGCCCCGCTCGGGCTCGCTGCGCGACACCGGCTCGCTCTCCGCGACGGCGGCGAGGACGAGGGCTGCCCGCGCGACCGCGGCCATCACCGTCATCCCGGAGGCCGCTCTCTACTTTAAGATGCCGCCTAAACTTGCACTTATTCAAGTTATTGTTGAAGCGCGGGGCAGCATGGACAGGAGTGGAAACGAGGATGAGCCCCTGGACGGCAGCGACGAGGAGAACCAGCCCGCGGACGTGTCCTTCGTCGGCCTCCGGGAGATCGAGCTCGCGGCCCCGGCCAAGTACGCGGACTACCTCGGCGCGAGGCCCGGCGCCGGCAAGGGCCTCGTCTACGAGGTCGCCGCCGTCGCGCGCGGCGGCGCGCGCCTGGCCGCGCCCGACGCCGTCAGGTGCGCGGAGGCGTCGCGGCTCGCGGCGTGCCCCTTCGCGTCGCTCGTGCGCGACGGCTCGCCCTTCGCGCTCTGGGCGTGCGAGGGCGACCTGCTCGTGTTCCTCGAGTTCGGCGACAAGGCGCCGCTCTGGAGCGACGGGCCCCAGGACGCGTCCATGCTCGCCGGCGTCAAGGTCGGGAGCCGCCTCGTCACGACGTCCGTCGCCACGGCCCGGGCCTGGGCGGCGACCGCGGCGCCGCCGGGGGACGCGAGCGTCGTTTTATGCTGCGGCGGCGCCGACGCGTCCGGCGGCGACGCGCTCCACGCGGCCTTCCGCCGCCTCGGCGTGCGGTCCACCTACGGCGCGCGCTGGCTCCGGGGCGTCGCCGAGGGGCCCGACGCCGCCGCGCGCTTCGCCGCGGCGGCCGCCGTCGCCGCCGCGCTCGCGCCGGACGACGCGTCGGCCGCGCGCGCGTCGGCCGCGCGGACCTACGTCTGCGACGGCGCCTGCGCCGCCCTCGCCGGCGACCTCGCGCGGTCGCTCCCCCGCGTGGCCCTCGCCTTCTGCCACCGGAACCTCGAGCCGTTCCTCGAGAGCCGGCGCGACGGCGACCGGCCGTGGGCGTCCGAGGCCCCCGGGGCCCGCGTCGCGACGCTGGCGACGTCGCCGGCCCTCGCCGCGGCGCTCCGGCGCGGCGACCCGCCCCTCGGGACCTTCTCGAGCCGCGGGCTCGCCGAGGACGCGGCCGCGTGGCTCGACGACGCCCGGGACTGGTCGGAGCTCTGCCAGGCGCGGTCGCGGGCCGCGGTCGACGACGCCGTGAGCCGCGCGCCGGCGCTCCGCTACGACGACCTGCTCGGGGCCGCGCGCGACGCGGGCGACGGCGGGGAGGGGGACGTGCTCGTGGGCGACACGCGGCACGACGTCCTCGCGGCCGCGCTCCGCCACCTCCTCCGCTGCTTCCGCTGCGACGAGTTCGGCGCGGTCGACGTCGCCGCGGACGGCAACCGCGCGATCCTCGAGCGCGCAGCCGTGGCCCTGCGCGACACGCGGCGCCGGGACGCGGCGCGCGCCGGAGAGGCGGGGCCGCCCCGCCCGACGAGCCCGCTCCACGACGCGGCCGCGCGGGGCTTCGACGACGCGCCCGCGCCGGGCCTCGCGGACGGCGACCGCGCCGTCGCGCGGGCCTGCGTCGAGGCCGCGAAGGCGGTCCTCGGCGTGCCGCTGACGCTCGTCGACGGCGGCTGCCTCTTCCCGAACACCGTCGGCATCAAGGGCCGGCCCGCGCCGGACGCGCCCGCGCTCGACCGGCCGCCGACGCTCCCCGCCGCCGCCCGCAGCGGTGGCCTCTGCTCCTGGCTCTCCGCGAAGCTGCGCCAGTGGTTCTAAGAGTGCGAGGCTGACTGATGGCAAGTCTGATGGCTGCGGACGGCTCCTTTACCTCAGCTTGCAGCTGACGATCTGCTTGCCTTCGTGCTAAGAGGTGGTCCACAGCAGCAGCGCAGATCGTGCGCTGCTCCATCTCGTCGCGCGCCCGCACGCATCGCGCGCACGACACATGTCGTGGTTCCTCTGCTCGCTGCTCATCGCGTCGGCGCAGGGCTTTCTGGCGCCGCACTCGACCCTGCCGAGCCTGAGCCGCGCCGCGGCGCTCCCCGACGCGCTCGAAGGCCTGCAGCTCGGCGCGCCCGCGGCGGCGCGCGACCTCGCCGCGCTCGACGGCGCGTCGTCGCTGCTTTTGGCCGACGGCGAAAACTACGCGACGTACGCGGTCGCGACGTTGTTCGCCGCGGCGATCGCGTTCTACGCCGTCATCATCTTCATGACGCCCAAGACGCCGAGCAAGTGGGACTGACGATCGGCGGACATGCTCGGACGGTGTGCGATGCTCCGGCCGGAAGGCGCCGCGGGACGTCCCGGGCCCCGGACGGAGCGCGCGCGGACCCTCCCTAAAGACCGAAGCTCCGACCTTACGCTGCGCTCACGCCCTACTTGAGCTCCTTGCCCATGAACTTGCGCTTGGAGAAGGACGCCCACCACTTGTTCTTGGAGCCGTCGGAGTAGAAGAGGACGTCGAGCGTGCGGAGCGAGAGCTCCTCGCGCGCCTGCTTCATGTAGAGGCGCCAGGACTCGCCCTCCTGGATGTCGCCGGGCGTCGGGAACATGCCGCCGAGGGACCAGCCCGGGCCGCCGGGGATGGGGAACTGCTTGATGACGAGCGCGTGCAGCGCCTTCTCGGCCTCGCCGCGCGTCTTGAACCGCTCGCACTCCTTGAGGAACTGCTGCATGGACAGCGTCAGGTAGATGAGCGACCGGTCCGCGCCTGCGACGAATGAGGGTGTTCCGTGGGACGGGCGAGTGCCCCGCGCGCGCGCGCGACCGCCGCGCGCGGCGGCCGCGGCGCGGGACGCGGGCGCGCGCCGCCCTTGACCTCGAAGTTGCGGAAGAGGCTGTTCGGCCGGTAGTACTTGATGACCTCGTCGACGATGTCCTCCTCGCCGTCGGCCATGAGGGGCGCCGGGCCGCGCGTCTTCGTCTTCAGCGGCAGGAGCGCGCAGCCGCAGGCCTCGTCGCCCGTCTCGGCCCCGGCGTACTTGCTGTGGTACGCGGGCATCCTGTCCGTCTAAGCGCGCTTTCGGTGGCGCGTGAGCCGCGGTGCGGTGCGTCGGCGCTGCTCGGGCTCAGCGCCGTCCACAGCTCGAACTCCTCGATCGAGTGGCTCGAGCGGCTCGCCGCGCGCCGCTTCGCCACAGCGGGCAGCACACCGCCTCGAGCGACGGCAGTGCCTCCCGACAAACGCGACGCGCACGCGACGAAAAAGACACCACAGCACCTTTTTACAAACGCCATGAATAACCAGGGCTGGCCCGACGAGCGCTGCGCGACCTGCGGCCTGCGCGCGAAGCTGAACATGGGCGTGAAGAACGACGGCCCGCTCTACATCCGCCTGCGGCCCTGCAGCCGCTGCAAGGAGGTGCGCTACTGCAACCGCGAGTGCCAGATGAAGGACTGGAAGGCCGGGCACAAGGACAAGTGCGTCGTGCCCGGCGACAAGCCGCCGCCGCCGATGGCCGACGAGCTGCGGAGCGCCGTCGCGGCGCAGATCGCGAACCGGGGCTGCTACATCCTCGCCCACGCGCCGGGCCGGACGCGCGAGGGGGAGCTCGGGCCCGACGAGAAGATCAACATCCACACGATCGGCTTCTACGAGCACGGCGCGGCGGAGCTCGCCATCGCGCGGATCCCGCACCGCCTGCTCCAGCGCGCGGGCGGCTTCCTGGCCTACGTGCGCAACGAGCGGCCCCTAGACCAGCCGCTCAAGGAGGACGAGGAGATGACCGTGAACGGGCTCACGTTCCGCGCGGCGCACGTCAAGGGCGAGGCGCTCAAGGCCGCGAACGCCGACGGCGTCGTCACCGTGCGCGCGTTCTACCACCTCAAGAAGTCCGACGGCCTCGTGGCGCTCATCCAGCTCACGCTCGTGCGCGAGGGCGACCTGCCGGCGCACGCGCCGCCGGAGATCGACGGCGGCGTCGCCACCGCCGACGACCCGACGGCCGTCGCCGAGGCCGCCGCGCGCGACCTCGAGCTCAGCCGCCGCGCGGCGAAGACCTCCGAGTAATTTTCTAGTCAACGTGGGGCGGCGGCGGCCCGTGCTCGTGGCACGCGGCGCAGCAATTGCGGTCGAAGCCCGAGGCGTCTTTCTGCGGCGCGTAGGGCAGCCCCTCCGTGCGGTTGAGCGACCCCTGGACGAACAGGCAGAGGTCGTCCTTCTGGCAGGACCCGCTCTTGGAGCAGTCGCAGGCCGCGCCCGTGGCGTTGGTCGAATACGCGTCCCAGGCCGCGAGCGCGGCCTTCAAACTCGCGGCGGTGATCGTTTCCCCGTCGCCGACGACGGCGAGCGTGTCCTCGACAGCGACGCCGACGCCCGCGCACTGGAAGCCCCAGACGGCGCCGCAGGTCGCCGCCGCGCCCGACGCGAAGGAGGTCTTGCACGTGGAAGGCGCGCCGTGGCAAAACGAACCCGGCCGGACGTCGCAGGCCTGGTCGCGGCACTGCGGGCAGCTACCCTCGCCGTTCCAGCACCAAGCATCGACACCGCCGCAGGCCACGGCGTCGTACTGGGGGCAGTTGCTCGAGAGAGCCGTGCAGGCGTCGGACATTAACCGCTCGTGGCAGGTGGCGAGGCAGTCCCAGCCCAGCCCCGTTTCCCGGCAGGTCATGTCGTCGCACTCGCAGGCGTCCCAGCTCTGCGTGAAGCACGTGTCGTTAGCAGCCGCGGCGGCGCCGACGGCTAGGGCGACGAGTGGCAGGCGCATCATGGTCGACCAGAAGCCACTGGGTTTCGTTTTTTAGCCCCACCCGGGGGCCTTGGGGGGGGTTTTATGGGCCCTCAGCAACCCCCCCACCCCCCGTCCCGGCGGCCCCCGGCGGCCTGGACGCGTACTGGGGCGCCGTTTTCAGGAGGCTTGTCGCGTCCGGCCCGAGCAGAAGTCGACCCCCCCCACCCCCGTCAAACCCCCCCCAAGGCCCCCCCAGGTGGCTAAAAAACGAAACCCTGGAACGTACTGGAGGGCAGCACCGAGTCGACCTTGGCGACAAACCCAAACCTTGCAGCTCACACCGGCAGCGTCTGTCGTCCAGCGTCAGCCGCCACACCTCGCTCTCCGCGCGCGCGTTCGGCTGGTCGCGCGCCGCCGCCAGCACCAGCGCACCCAGCGACCGGCCACCGCCACCTCGCGGCGCGGTCCGTGGATGACCAGGAGCGCTCGGCGCGTCGTCATCGCGGGTTGGATGTTGTGCGCGGCTTCGGCGCTTCGGCGCGGCGGCCTCCGCGCCGCCCCGCGGCCGCGCCGGAGCCGGGTCGCGTGCCGCGGGGCGCCGAAGAACTGGTACAGCGCCTACACGGACGACCGGGCCACGAACGAGCCGCGGCTGCCGCGGCCCGCGGCGCAGCGGCAGCAGGCCGCGCCGCTGTCGTCGGCGCCGGCCGCGCCGCCCGCGGACGAGGACGACGAGGCCCAGCTGGCGCGCCTGCCCTACAGCGACGAGGAGCGCGCGCGCGACGACCGCATCTTCGCGCGGCTCCTCGACGAGGCCGCGGGCCTCGAGGGCTCGCCGCTCCTCGGCCCGGCCGTGCAGTCGCAGATCCTCAAGTCCGAGGACCTCGCGGACGCCGTGGGCGAGGTGCTCGCCTGCCGCCTCGCGCGGGCGGCCTCGTGCATCATGCTGCCACGGGCCGAGCTCAAGGAGGCCTGCGTGCGCGCTCTGAGGGACGACCCGAGGGTCGGCGCGGACGTCACGGCGATCCTCGCCAGGGACCCCGCGGCCATCTCCTACCTGCAGTGCGTCATGTTCTTCAAGGGCTTCCACGCGACGCAGGCCCAGCGCGTCTCCGCCGACTTCTGGCGCGGCGGCGACCTCACGTCGAAGCACGTCGCGCTCGCCATCCAGAACCGCGTCTCCGAGCTCTGGGCCGTCGACATCCACCCGGCCGCGTCGCTGGGCGGCGGCTTGTTGATGGACCACGCCACGGGTATTGTGATCGGCGAGACGGCGGTGATCGGCGACAACTGCACGATCCTCCACTCGGTGACTTTGGGCGGCACGGGCAAGGACCGCGGCGACCGCCACCCCAAGGTCGGCGACCGCTGCACGCTCGGCGCGGGGGCGACCGTGCTGGGCAACATCAGGGTCGGCGACGGCGCGACCGTCGGCTCCCAGGCCGTCGTGACCAAGGACGTGCCCACGGGCATGACGGTCATCGGCCTGAACAAGCTCCTCGACCCCGAGGTCACGCCCGAGCGCAAGCAGGAGGTCCAGAAGCGCTCGGAGACGTGGCAGTACGAGGTCGACGCCTACGACGGCTACTCCATCTAGAAGCACCTTCATCGGAGCGCGACGGGACCGCGGCGCCCGGGCGCCGGATTTCGCGCGAGAGCGCCGAATCCGCCGCCCGGCCGCCCCGCTCCCCTCGCGCTCGCTCGTACATAATTCCCGGACTCACCATGTTAGACGCTCCCCGCCCTCTCAGTAGTTCCAGCGGGCGCCGTCCTTGCTCGCCGGGCGGTAGATGGCGGCCTCCACACGGCGTGCGTCGACATAAGGCAATGCGGAGTTGATGTAGGGCTCCCGCTTGTTCTTGACGTCGAGGCGCGCCTCCTTCTTCTTCTTCGCCGCGGCGGCCCGCCGCAGGGCGCCGAGCTCCTCGTACTCGGCGTCGCTGAGGACGACCTGGAGGTCCACGTACGCGCGGCTCGGCGCGCCGGCGCCTACCAAGCGCGACAGGGTCGGATTTCTTCACCATCTTCAGGCGAAATTCACGCGAAAAAACACTCCTGTCGCTCGACGCTGGCCGGCGCCGCTGGTCGCGTAGACGCCGGCGACGTCCGTCGCGAGGAAGGCGCCCAGGTCCGTCTCGAGGGTCGGCGCGCGGGGCGCGCCGGGCGCGTCGCGCACCTCCCAGGCGTAGAGGGGCTTGGGCGTCGCCGCGGGCTTGGCCGGCGCCTTGGCGGCGCTCGGCGCGGGCGTCGGCCGGCCGGTGCTCGGCGCGGCGCCCTGGCCCGCGGCGTAGCCGGGCGTGAAGCCCACGGAGGACCGCACGGTGGACTTGGGCACCTGTGCCGCGGCCACGGCCGACGGCGGCGCCACGGGCGTCGCCGGCGGCGGCGCCGACGGCGGCGCCGCGGGCTCCGGCGGCGGCGGCGGCTCGTCGCGCGCGGGCGACGCCGCGGGCGGCGGCGCGGCGGCGGCGAGCGCGCGCCGCAGCCGCATGCGCTGCTTCTCGAAGAGGATGGACCGCTCGTCGTCCTCGTGCTCGAGGTAGAACTCCTCGAGCTCCTCGATGCGCGCCTCGAAGCATCGCTTCATGGGCTCGACGTCCGACGGGTCGTCGTCCTCGAGGGCGCTCGTGAAGCGCCGCAGCGCCTCGTCGACCTCCTTCCGCAGGTTGCTCGCCTTGCGCAGCTCGAGGTGGGACCACTCCATCGCGCGTGAGTGGCTGGCTCGCAGCAACAGACTCGAGGCTGCCCGGCGCGCTGTCTGTTGCGATCGGCAACGTGAGGTCGACCGTGCCTTTTTGGATGTGCCAGTGCGCCGCGCTCGACGCCTCGACGGCGCGACACCGCGTGACGAGTCAGTTGTCAAAACCCGCGCCCCACGTGGCGACTAGGTGGGAACAGCTCCGCCCCTTACAGAGGAGGACTTCAAGCGGGATACAGCGAACGGGGAGCGAGATCAGGGCGCGAGCTTCGCCGTCGCGAAGAGCGCCTCCGCGGACTTGGACGGTCCGCACTCCGTGAAGTAGTGGTTGAGGTACTCGTAGATGTCGCCGAAGATGACGCGGTTGTCCTGCGGGTTCTTGCCGAACTTGAACCCGTGCTTGATCCCCCGGAACAGCGCCTTGAAGAACAGGTACTTGGGGCCGCCCTTGAGCAGCTTCGGCGACTGGTAGCGGAGGTTGAACATGACGTTCGGTCCCGCGTCGGTCCAGACGGAGTGGCACCAGTTGGGCCCGAAATAGATGGCGTCGCCCGGCTCCTGCTTGATGACGTGGACGTGCTTGACCTTTTTGAGGAGCTCGTCGTCGGTGTGGGGGAAGGGCATGAACGTGGGCAGGGGCGTGGACGGGATGTCCTTGAGGTCGTCGGGCCCGACGAAGTACCAGGTCTTCGTCCCGACGAGCTGGATGGACAGCGAGTCGATCGGCGCGCAGTGCAGGCCGGCCGACGCCGTGTCGTTCTGGAAGTTCGACGTGAAGAGGTTGTTCATCTTGTAGTCGCGGCCGCCCATCTGGTCCGACTTGATGCCGAGCACCTTCTCGACGTCCTCGGTGTCCGTGATCGCTTCGAAGCCCGCGTAGTACGGGCTGCCCTCGCGCGAGTAGTTCGTGAAGAGGTTGTCGCGCGCGTACTGGTCGAAATCCGTCATCACCTCGTCCAGGCCCTTGACGCAGGAGATGGAAAAGTGCGGGTCCGTGTACTTCTCGAAGTTGAGCATGCGCATCTGCTTGCCCTTGTTCTTCTCGGACAGGAACGCGACGACCTCGTCCTGGTCCTTGACGAACGCCCCCTTGAGGAGCGTGGGGTAGCCGCGGGGGTTGAAAATCTTGTCGAGCGTCTCGCCCTCCTTCAGCGGATCCATGGGCAGCCCGTAGGTAATGTGCGGCAATTCGACCTCACCCGCCGTCAACGTGTTCATGCGCGTCTCCATGTCCGGGTAGTACATCCGCAGCGCCATGGCATCGAGCGGCTTGGGCAGCATCGTGATCATCATGTCGTGGTACTTCGTCAGCATCATGCCCACGAACACGATGCCCACGGACGCCTTCTTCGAGGGCGCCATCTTGGTCGTGACGGCAGTCCTACGCGATGACGGGGGAAAGGCCAAACAAATTCGATAGATGTCGGCCGATGCTGCTTCGCCAGCCTGAGTTCAACCAGTTCAAGATGCACCGACTCAGCGACCTCGCCGCCATCGACGCAGGCCATCGTCGCAGCGCTCGTCGCACCTCGATCAGGCCATCGACGCAGGCCATCGACTCAGCGACCTCGACAGCCATGCTGCGCCACGCACTGCTGCTCGCGCTCGTCGCACCCATCGCAGCGCTCAAGAAGGTGCTCGTGACGGGCGCCGGCGGCCGCACGGGGAAGCTCGTCTTCAAAAAGCTCAAGGACGACTACGCCGACGTCGCGCCCCTGGGCCTCGCGCGGTCGGCCAAGGCGGCCAAGGCCCTCAAGGCCGCGGGCGCCGCCGGCGACGAGGTCGTCGCCGCCGACGTCGCCGACGAGGCCGCGCTCGCGGAGGCCATGGCCGGCTGCGACGCCGTCGTGCTCTGCACTTCCGCCGTGCCCGCGATCAGGAAGCGGTCGCTCGTCAAGCTCATGGTCAAGAAGCTGCTCCGGCGCCCGGACGTCGGCCGGCCCGAGTTCTCCTTCCCGCCGGGCGGCACGCCCGAGGAGGTCGACTGGCTCGGCGCGAGGAAGCAGATCGACGCGGCCAAGGCCGCCGGCGTGTCCCACTTCGTGTTCGTGTCGTCCATGGGCGGCACGCAGCCCGAGAACTTCCTCAACACCATCGGCAAGCAGGACGACGGCTCCGGCGGCGACATCCTCCTCTGGAAGCGCAAGGCCGAGCGCTACCTCGTCGACAGCGGCGTGCCGTTCACGATCGTCCACCCGGGCGGCCTCGTCGACGAGGAGCCGGGCAAGCGCGAGCTCACGGTCGAGGTCGACGACGTCCTGCTGGGGCTCAAGAGCCGCTCCGTCGCGCGCGCGGACGTCGCGCGCGTCTGCTGCGCGGCGCTGTTCGACGACGCGGCCCTGGGCAAGTCCTTCGACCTCGCGTCCAAGCCCGTCGGCGAGGGCACGCCGACGCTCCACGCCGCCTCCGTCTTCGAGGCCCTCGCGGGCAAGACCTGCGACTACGCCACGGTCCTCGACGACCCTCCGTCGATCCCGGCGCTGCGCGGCTAATAAGAAAGAGCTTGAAGCCATGTTGAAGAAGGCTGCCCACCCGGTGTCGATGGAGTCCGTCGTGCCCGGCCGCCGCGAGCAGAGCCGTCGTCCGCGCCGGACCCACCGGCTGCGCCGCGCGCTCCAGATGGGCTCGCCGCTGACGCGCGCCTTGGACACGGGCGCCGACGTCTACTACGCGCGGCCGCGGCGTCCCACGCTCGAGAGGCCTATGATGATGAGTGCCCACCTTTGTCCCCAAAAACTTAGAGCGACTTCTGCGGCGCCTTCCTCTTCAGCCTCTTCTTCGCCGGGCTCGTCGCCTACGCCCTGTCGGAGCAGATCAGCCCCCACCACTACGGTCCCATCGGCGCCGCGTCGGGCGTCGCGTTCTTCTTCCTCCGCCTCTGGTGCGTGCGCTCCTACCGGGAGCACGTCGCCGAGCGGCGCCGCCAGCGGCGGCCCGCGGGCGACGACGACGGCGACCAGGTCCTCGAGCCCATCGTCGCGGCCAAGGGCGGCGCGGCCCCGAGCGACGTCGTCTGAGGGTTACCGCGCTAGCCGAAGGAGAAGGCGCCGGGGGCGCGGTAGCACGCGGCGCGCGCCGCCGCGAGCCCCCCGCGCGGCGCGGCCTGCTCCGCGGTCCACTTGGACATCCAGTCCGCGTGGAACGCGCGGCACTTCGTCGCGTCGCGGCCCTTGGCGAGCGCCGCGTCCGGGCCGAGGCCGGCCTGGAGGTAGGACGACGCCTTGTGTCCGCCGCCGGCGAACTCGACGATCTTGTCGAGAAAGCCGTGGGCGCCGCGGGACGAATAGGCCGCGGGATGGTGGCGGTGTCTCGCGACGCAGGAAAACAGGCGGCCGGGCGCGTAGAGGAACTGGTCCGCGCCGCCGCCGTCGTCGAGGGCGTGGCGGTTCATGGGCCGGTCCGCCGCGAGGAGGCAGAGGTCGAACTTCTTGACGAGCATGTCCAGGCGGAGGACGAACGCGTGGTGCACGGGGCACTCGCGGACGCCGGGGGTCTCCGGCGCGCCCGACCGGCCGTCGGCGACCGTCCGCGCGTCGGACGCCGCGAGCTCCACCGCTCGCGACAGCGTGCCCCACTGGCTGCCCGCCGTCCGGTTCCGCAACGCGAGGCCCCGGAGCCGCGACCCGTAGAGCGCGGGCAGCGCCGTCGACGCCCAGTCTTCGCCGTTCGTGCAGTGGTACGACGATATGTACACGCGCACGTCGTAGCCCGCCCGTTCCAATGGCTCGATGACGAGCCTGTCGTGCGCCGCGGCGACGGCGCGCTGCGCGGCCTCGGAGCCCGCGCAGCACGTGTCTTGGTTGCCCTGGTGCGCCCAAATGCGGAACGCGTCGCCGCGGAGCATGAGCGCGACGATCCGCCGCGGCCCGTTGACGCACGCCTTCTCGCGCACGCACATGGCGTCGCAGGGCCGGTCCGAGGCGGTGGTCGGGTCGCAGTGCGGCCGCAGCGCGTCCTTGCCGGAGCCGGCGAGCACGAGGGGCCACTCGTCGGCCGTCGGCGCCGCGCGGCACCGCAGGAGCAGCAGCGCGACCAGGCGCAGCATCACGATGGAAGGTGCGGCACCGAGCAGGCATACATCAGCACACGGGCATTCCGGACGCTCGAACCATCACGAACCCAGGCTATTTTATTTATTAGAGCTGCAAGTTCGCTTTGTTTGAACTTATGCGGCGGCGCGCGCTCACTGGATGCGGAGGATGATGTGGAGGCCCGAGTCGGTCTCGACGATGCCGGAGACGGCGCCGACCTTGAGGCCGAAGGCGGCGTCCTCGAAGGGCGCCTGCATCGCGCCCTTCTGGAAGTGGCCGAGGTCGCCGCCCTGCTTGTAGGAGCTGCAGTCGCTGCGCTTCGACGCGAGGGCGCTGAAGACGCGCGACGGCTCCGGCGCGGCGAGGACCTCGGCGAGGTAGCCCTCGAGCTCCGCGCGCGCGTCCTCCGGCGCGAGGGCGATGCGCTCGCCCGTGCGCCGCGAGACGGGGTTCCGCGACCGCGTCGTCTTCAGGAGGAGGTGCGCCGCGCGGACGCCCTGCGTCTTCTGCCGCTTCGGCGACGCCCCCTCGTCGGCGAGGAGCGGCAGCCGCAGGATCGCGTGGACGCCGCTGTCCGTGTCGACGACGCCGGACATCTCGCCGACGGCGAGCGCGAACGTCGCGTCCTCGAAGGGCTTCTGCATCTGGCCCCGCTGGAAGTCGCCGAGGTCCCCGGACTCGCGGCAGGACCCGCAGTCGGACCGCTTCTTGCACGCGTCGCGGAAGGCCGCGGCCGGGTCCGGGGCATTGGAGATCTTGGCCATCCAGCCCTCGAGCTCGTCGAGCGCCTCGGCCTTGGTCATGGTGATGCGCTGGTTCGTGCGCCGCGACACGGGGTTGCGGCTGCCCGTGTGCTTTAGGAGCAGGTGCGCGCACCGAGCGACGTTGTCGTCGGCCATGGCAAGAGGCGGCGCGCGACGGACACGGCGGGCGGCGCGCAGGAAAACTTGGAGCGGCGCGCGCAATGGCAAAGCTTTGGCGAGGCCGCTGGATCCGGCACCATGCTGAATCCTCCGACCTCGTTCATTGCGTGGGGGCTGCCCGCACGGCCGCGACGACGCGTGGTGGGCTCCGGAAGGCTGCGCGCGGGTGGGCCCGGCGTCCCATGCAACGGCCGCTGCTCGCGGTCGCATCGGACAGCAGCGGCGCAGCGGCGCCACCGGACACGGCGCCGTCGTCGCCGTCCAAGAGCACGAAGCCCGCCATGCGCGACCTCATCAAGGGCGAGGCGGACAAGCGCGTGCGGCCCCTGCAGGCCGTCGTCTTCTTCGTCGTCTTCTTCCTCGTGTCCTGCGGCTTCGCGGCGTCGCAGGAGATCATCGTGACGACGCCGGGCTTCAAGCCGCTCCACCGGTCGTTCCTCACGCTCAGCCACAGCGTCGCCTACTGCCTCTTCGCGTCCATGGAGCTCGCGCGGGCGGGCTGGACGCCGGGCCAGCGCACGACGCCGCTCCGGCACTATTTGGCCGTCGCCGTCTTCTGCTTCCTCAGCGTGTTCCTGGCGAACAACAGCGACGCGCGCCGCGTCCGAGCGGCCCGCCGCTCGTTCGAAACCCAATCGCAGGCCTCACGTACATCGACTACAGCACGCGCGTCATGTTCAAGTGCGCCAAGCCCATCCCGACGATGCTCCTGAGCATGGTGCGTCCGTTTAGCGCGCGCGCGTCGCGACGCGCCGCGGCCGCAGGCGATGCTCGGCTCCGGCCACAGCTACTCGTCGCTCGAGTTCGCGGCGGCCGCGGCCCTGGGCGTGGGCCTCGCCATGGGCATCATCGGCGACGGCGCGGCGCCGGCGACGCTCTCCGCCGCCGCGGCGTCCGGCGGGCGCCTCGGCCCGCTCGCGCCGTCGGCCGTCGCCGGCGGCGCGCTCGCGCTCTCCGCGATCCTCTGCGACGTCTTCGTGTCGACCTACGAGCAGGTCGGTCCTCGTGTCTCCGAGCGACCGGCACCGCGACCCCCCCCCCCTAGGTCTACATCTTCAAGGAGTTCTCGCCGCGGCCCGCGGAGCTCATCTTGTACACGTACGCGATCTCCGCGGCGGGCGGCCTCGCGTTCTTCGCGGCGTCCGACGAGCCCCAGGCCATGGTCGCCTTCGTCGCGCGGGAGCCGGAGATCTTGGCGAAGATGTTCGCGAGCGAGATCTTCGGCTACGCGTCCATCTCGTGCGTCGTCCGCCTCGTTGAGGCGTTCGGCGCGACGAACGCGGAGCTCGTCAAGACGGTCCGCAAGGGCGTCACCGTGGCGCTGAGCTTCGTCGTCCTCGAGGGCAAGACGCCGACGGCCGCCCACTACCGGGGCGCGCTCCTCTTCTTCTCCGGCACCGCGCTGTCCATCTACGCCAAGGACAAGCGGCGCGCCGCGCAGCGGACCGCGCGCGCGAGCGACCCGGAGTCGCCGCCGCCGCCGCCGCCGGACGACGCGACGCCCGAGAGCGGCGCCCTCGACACGGAGCGCCTCGTCGCGCGGCGCTAGGCCCCGCCCGTGTAAATTTCCGACCGCGTTACACGAGCACGCGACTCAGGTCGTCCTGGGCCGAGTAGGCGAAGGGCTCGCGCTGCCGCAGCGGGCTCGCCGGCGCGAAGTCGCCCGCGTCGTAGTTCGGCGCGTGGTCCTCCGTCTTGTGTTTTTTTCGCTTCGACGCCAGCAGCGACGCGGCCGCGCCGAGCGCGAGGAGGCACACGACGACGCAGAGCGACGCGCCCGTGCCGATGGCGTAGTGGAAGTACTCGAGGATCATCTTCACGGAGATGAAGACGAGCACGGCGCAGACCGCGGGCTTGAGGTAGACCATCGAGTCGACGGCCTTGGCCACCAACGCGTAAAGCGCGCGGAGGCCCGCGATGGCGAAGACGTTGGACGAGTAGACGACGAAGGGGTCCGTCGAGATGCCCAGCACGGCGGGGATGGAGTCGACGGCGAAGACGACGTCGCTGAGCTCGACGCAGACGAGGCAGAGCAGCAGCGGCGTCGCGCGCTTCGCGCCGTCGACGACGGTGAAGAATCGGTCGCCGTCGTACTCCGTCGTCGCGCCGACCAGCTTCCGCGAGAGCCGCATAACCAGATTATCGCCGACGTCCTCGTCCTCGTCGCCCTCCATGAGCAGCTTCACCGACGACAGCAGCAGGATGCCCGCGAAGAGCAGCGACGTCCACCGGAATCGCTTCACGGCCGCGACGCCCGCGACGATCATGACGCCCCGCATGAGGATCGCGCCGACGATGCCCCAGGACAGCACGCGCTGCTGGAACGCCGGCGGCACCCGAAAGTACTCGAAGAGCATGATGAACACGAAGAGGTTGTCGACGGACAGCGACTGCTCGACGAGGTAGCCCGAGAAGAAGGCGATGGCGCTGTCGCGGCCGCGCGCGTACCAGAGGATCAAACCGAAGGCCGTCGCCGAGGCGACGGCCCAGACCGTCTGCACGAGGCTCCGCCGGAAGTTGTCAGCCTCGCCGGAGCTACTCATGGCTGCTTCGGCGAGCGTTGCCGGTTGTGGCAGGCGCCACTCACTCCACGTTTGCAGCCGCCAATGATGTGTTGTGTGGTAGTTGTGTGGTTGCGTGTGGCGCGTGCTGCGGCGGCGCGCGAGTCGAGGCTGCCAATCGACGACGCGATCGGCGGCGCGGCAAATGTCGGTGTTGCTCGCCAAGGTCCACAAAAGCGGACATTGACGCTCGGTTGACGCGCCTCACGAAGAAAAACTCGAGCGCTCGTGTGTTCGTGCGACGGCCGGCGCGTCTTACGAAAAATGAGACGTGCTCTCACCTTGCTCGCGGTCCTCCCAACGACAACATCCCTCTCGACGCCCGCGGGCGGCTGGCAGGCCGAGGCGGCCCGGCTCAACGCGCAGGCAGCTCAGCTCCGCGCCGAGGCCGGCGTCCTCCAAGAATCACTGCTCGAGGAGCGCCGAGCCCGCGAACAACGAGCGCTCGAGCCGGCCGTGGCCGTCGTCGCCCCGTCCTGGGACTACCCCATGGTCCACGGCAAGGTCGTGCTCGCCAACAAGGAGCTCGTGCTCCGGTGGCAGCTCCGCGACGGCGGGACGCGCGCGGAGCTCGAGGTCCTCGACGCGGGCGGCTGCGAGGTCGCGCGGGGCTCGGGCGACGTGCGCTACACATCGAGCCGCCACGGCGCCGGGGAGACCGTGAGCTTCGTCGCGACGAGCGGCGACTTCGCCGTCGTGTCCACGTTCGAGTGTTTGGCCGCGGACGACGCGCAGGCGCTCGGCGACGAGGCCGCGGCGCACCTCGCGGCGCTGCGCCACGCGGAGTTCGCCCTGGCCGCCGCGGAGCCGGCCCTGCGGGACCTAGCGAGCTTCGACCCGCCGCGGCGCCTCTTCCCGCTCCTGAACCCGCGGAGTCTCGCGTCGCGCGCGGTCTCGCGCGTCCGGACGCGGAACCGGCGCCGCGACGCGGAGCGGAGCCGGCGCCTCGCCCAGCGCACGCTCCTGCGCGCGGAGAAGGACGCGGCCTACTGGCAGCGCATCGCCGCCGTCGCCGGCGGCGACCAGTTCGTCTGCAGCGACGGCGAGGCGCGCGTGCTCGCGCCGTCCGGCGACGTGTCCGTCACGGGCCTGGCGCCGCTCTTCGACTCCTGGGCGCCCGCGCGGCGGACGACCTTCCGCGGGAGCTGCGACATCGTCCTCGCGCCGGGCTTCGGCGAGCCCGGCGCCGAGGAGCCCGCGCGCCGGAGCCCGCGCGCGGGCGGCCGCGCGGGCGGCGCGCGCAAGTCGCGGCGGAGCGCGGAGACCGCGATCTGAGGAACATCCCGGACCCCTTTTGCCCATAGCCCCCCCGCGACGAGCCCCGTTCCCCCCCCTTGTACTCTAACTTTGCGTGTTCAAACTGAGAACTCAGCCTGGCAAGTTGGCGACCCTCGTCTGTTCAAACAGCGGACTTATAGGAAGCGGGCGCCCTAGAGCTCGGCCTTCGCGCCCGCGCCCGCGAGCATGGCCGCCTCCGTCTTCGTGAGCATGGCCGGGGGCCCCGCGTAGGGCGCGCTGTGGCCGCCCGTGCGCAGCGGGTGGTTGAGGTCGATCTTCTCCGTGATGTTCCGCGAGAGGGCCTCGAGGTGGGGCGTGTTGAGGACGAGGTTCGTCGTGACGTTCTGTTTGAGGCTGTCGATGTCGGTCTTGCCGTTGTCCGCCTTGGTGTTGAGCGTGAGGAAGCGGAGGAACCAGTTCACGGTGGCCCAGTAGCCCGACTTCTGCGCCTTGAGGGGCCAGAGGAACGTCTTGAACGCGTCCTTGCCGCCGCCCGGCCGCACGCCGACGCCCCAGCCGAACTCCTCCTCGAGGTTCGCGACGCCGTGGGGCCAGAAGGGCGGGAAGAGGAGCATGTCGCCCGGCTCCGAGATGACCTCGCGGAAGGGGATGCGGCTCTGGTCGCGGGGGTCCATCATGAAGCGGCAGCCCGCGATGCCCAGGCACACGGGGCGCATGTGCGGGATGTAGTCCGGCACCGTGAAGTACCACTTCTTCCGGTTCGCGACCTGGAGGAACGCGTCGGGCACGGGCGCGTTGTGGAGCATGGCCCAGTGCCACGTGCCGTGGTAGACGAAGGCGTGGTGGTTCGCGTCGTGGACCTCGTCGCTGTAGCGCACGAGCGCGGGGATGTCCGCGAGCCGCTTGAGCGTCGCGGCGACGCCCGCCATGAGCTTGGGCTGCTGGGCCAGCAGGTCGAGGATGAAGCCGCCGTAGAGCTGCTCGCCGCCGGCCATGCGGCGCACGGCGTCGTGGAGGCCCACCATCTCGCTCGTCTTGCCCAGGCCCACGTTCGCGCCGAGGTGCACCGTCGTGAAGCTGTGCTTCGTGTTCTCCGTGGCCGCGATGAAGGCCTCCATGTCCGCGTACTGGTCGAGGTAGCCGTGGCTGAAGTTCTTCACGAGCACGAGCCTAGGAACGAAGCGATGGCGTCCTGTGCGTCGTCTCCGGCCGCGCGACGCGAGCGAGGCCCGCCGGCGGACGCGGGCGCGCGCGGCCAGTCCTTGCCCAGGCTCATGACCTCGTCCTTGATCTCCTCCCAGGTGCCCTCGATGACGGGGATCTCGATCTGGGGCGGGTCCGTGTTGCTCAGGTAGCTCTCCATGACCTCGTCCTCCGTCATCGTCATGAGGCTGCGCGGGTTCAGGAGCCACCACTTGGCCTGGGCCAGGCGCTGCTGCAGCGTGAAAGGCACATGGTCCTTGATCAGGAAGCAGACCTGGACTAAATAGGCCAGCACGTACAGCCCGACGAGCTTCCCGGCCGTCTTAAGCGCGCCCATCGCGTCGGGGCTGCGTCGTCACTCTCCGTCGAAGGCCTCGACGCCTGACATCCACGCCGTGGATACATTTGCTGAATTCTCCTCCAACTTGAAGCGCGCGGGAAAAACTCCGCCGGACTTGAAGACAAGTCGGAAGACGCGCCGACCACGGAAAAGGGTAACATATCCCGCCGGCGGGATATGTTAAACGCCGCTTCAACTTGGACTTCAACCTCAAACCTTGCACTTCAACAGGGACCTCAACACAGCCGCTTGCCCTTCAAAAGGGACCTCAACACCGCCGCTCACGCCTCATCGAGGACCTCTGACGCGCCGCCCACGCCTTAGGGTGCGCGACCCGCCCCATGCCACGTGCCAGAAGCCCTCCAGAAGCCCTCCAGAACCCTTCCAGAACCCTTCCGCGGACCCGAAATACCCCAAACCCCTTACGATTTTGCGATTTTGATTTCCCCCACTGCCTCGCCTTGGTAAACTGCCCTTCAAGTTTCTTTAACGTGGTGCAAATCAAGACATTTGGTATCTTGAAATGACATTCCGCAGTGCTCGCATCTTGAATTTGATCTATAGTCATCATAAATGCGAGAGATATACTGGTCGATTTGCAAAAATTGGTTTACGGTAATCATGATTTTATCTAGATAACGAATCTCAGCATGGAGCCTAGGCGAGCATGTGCTCGGCCTGCGGCCGCTCGGACTGGTCGATCTTGGCCCACTCGCCGTCGTAGATGTCTCCGAAGTCGGCCTTGGCGTGCCGTCCGACGATTTCGAGCACGGGCGCGTGGAGCATGATCGACCGCGTCCAGGCCCTGAAGAGGGCCTTGTTCGCGTCATGGACGCCGCTCTGCGGCGTGAAGATGACGACGTCTTTGAAGAGCTTGTTCAGCTCGACGATGCTGAGGAGCGTCGGCTCGTCGTCGCCGTCGCCGCCGCCGGCCGCGCCCGCGCGGGTCCGCGGCGGCATTGTAGGAAGGCGGGGTGCTGGTGTCCTCGCCGCTGCGCCGCGCGCGGTCCGCGCGGGCGCTGGTGGGGCCTGGACCGGAGCGCGGCGCGACGCCGGGCTCTGCGGCGGCGCGCGCTCTGGCTCCAGGGGCTATCCGCCGCTCGCGAGCGGTGGATCTGCTGCGGGCGGCGCGCTCTGCGCGCAGGCTCGCAGCGGTGTAGCTGCGCACAGCTAGCAGGTGTAGCGCGGTGGCTCACAGCGCGAAAATGGGCCCATAACCCAGATCAGAGTGAGACTGCGTTACGGGTATCCTAGGCGTATCCTGGCTCCTCTGGAAGGGTTCTGGAGGGCTTCTGGAGGGCTTCTGGCACGTGGCATGGGGCGGGTCGCGCACCCTAAGGCGTGGGCGGCGCGTCAGAGGTCCTCGATGAGGCGTGAGCGGCGGTGTTGAGGTCCCTTTTGAAGGGCAAGCGGCTGTGTTGAGGTCCCTGTTGAAGTGCAAGGTTTGAGGTTGAAGTCCAAGTTGAAGCGGCGTTTAACATATCCGGGATATGATATCCCGCCGGCGGGATATGTTAAGGGTAAAATGGGTAATGAAAACTTTAGAATTCAACTCTTATTTTCATACAGGGTAGTGGGAATGACGGCGCTAGGCGGTCTTCACGGACTTGGCGACGGGGCCGCCCTTGATGGCCTTCGCGGCGGCCATGTAGCCCGCGAAGGTCGCGAAGGTCAGGGCGATGAGGCAATACTCCATGCCAAAGGTGAGGACCCAGTGGCCCGGCGTGCGGCGCTTGACGGCGCCGCTCTGGTAGAAGGACGCCTGGAAGTACATCAGGCCGTCGTAGAGCCGGTTCATAGGCGCGAAGTCGATGACGCCGAGGCACGAGCCGTCGACGTGGTGGTTCACAATGTGGCACTTGTGGTCCTCGATGATCTCCGACAGGGGCCAGGGGAAGATGGACTTCTCCTCGGCGTGGACGTAGGGGTGGACCAGGAGCGTCTGGAAGCGCATCTTGATCACGGAGATGAACGCGCGCGCGCCAAAGTACGAGCCGAACGGCGCCCGGGGGTTGACGATCTTGTGCGCCAGGTAGGCGACGCTCTGGATCATGATCTCGCAGGCGACGAGGCTCGGCGCCTGGCCGTGGGGCACGGACTTGCCCTTCTCCGTCATCTGGCCCGCGCCGCCCGCGCCCGTCTCCTCGAGCACGCCCTCGCCGCCGTGGTGCACGAGGTTCCCGAC